CCCCCAAATCCCGGGGATTTAGCTTAGTGGAGCTGCCGCCTGCCTTGCAAGCCCGAGGTCTTGAGTTCGATCCCCCCTACAAAAAAAAAAAAAAATCCCCAAAGGGTCCATTTCAGGCATGAGGGAGGGGCACGTGGGAAGAGAACGGGCTGGAGACTTAGCCTCTCAAGAGTCCCCCATGGGTCTGGATCATGGAGACTAAGAATCAGTCATTAGCACCTACCACAAGTTGGTAAGTGTGGCCACCTCTGGGATCGATAAAAATGAGTGGGCGGGTGTGGCTTCCCCAGCGTGCTCGAGGTCCAGGTGCTGAGCCTTGTACCACAAAACAAAACAAAAATGAAAGGCAGGTGTGCTTCAGCGAACTCGAAATAGGACGGAAACGCTCACGGGGACGAGAGATGGGGTGTGTGCGTGCTGTTCTCAGGCCTGGGCTCTTGGCCTGTTAGGCGCTAAAGGTGGAGGCACATCTCTTTTCCGGTTCCCCTTGCTGAGGAGGAGGAGGGTGTACTCCCTCCCTTTGGACCCTACTCTTAAAAACACAGGGGCTAGGTGCAGTAACTGGGGAGCAAGGACACCGTATTTCCGAGGAGAAAAACAGCTGCTGATTCATGAAGTCTCAGTAAAAAATTCCCCCCCTCACCTTAAGAAAATTGCAACAGACTAGTGTAGGCCACTGTGGTATAGAACGATGACATGAAACTAGACCATTCTGCCAGCTTTTCCGAAAACATTTTTTGTGGCGGACAGGAGAGGGGCATCCGTGGGGGTCCAGCGACGAGCCCAGAGCACTTCGGCGCCGCTGAGCACCGCGGGCGGCACGGCTCTGCAGCTTCGGCTTGGCTTCTCTAGCCCGCGTGGCGCTGATTTCGTTCCAGAACGGCGCAGAAGCCAGGCCTTTGGGACCCAGGCCAGCCAGGGCTAGGCCGGGACCCTCACCCCCGACTCCAGGCCGGCCCCGCCCCGACAGCGAGGCCACGCCCACCGGCCTGACGTGGCCACGCCCCGCTGCTGGCCTGGAGGAGGGAGGACCTCTGTAGGCCCCGCCCCCGAGGCGAGGCCACGCCCCTCGACCGCGCCCCGCGCCCCGCTCCTGACGCAGGCCTCGGGAGAGCTCGCCCCTTTCGGCAGTCCGCTCGCTCCAGTACGCAGTCGGCCGTCTTGTTCCCGGTCTCCGGGCCTGTGACAGCCCCTGGTCGCCCCGAGGTAGGTCCCCTGCGCTGCGCCGGCCCGTGTCCAGACAGATGTCCCACTGGCTCGGGCATCCTTTACTGCCTCTGGCCTCGGGGCAGCATCCTTTGGATGCGCTCCGACGCTTCTGCGGATTTTGCTTCAGGGCGAGACTCGCACTCCCGGGGCGGCCCCCAGGCCGCAGAGGCGACGGCGCTGCCCAGTGCCATTGGGTGCGCCCCGACGACGTCACCGCGACTGCGCCCCGCGAGGCACGCTGGGAGTCCGGGTGGCGGTGGTGGCAGATCCGCGCCTGCGCGGTGGATGCTTGCGCGTGCGTGGCTTAGTCCGCTTGAGGCGCCTCCACCCTTCTACCGCTGATGTCTAGTCAGCAGCCCCAGGCCCGGGCCAACAAAACACCTCTCCCGGAGAAAAGCAACCCTTGACTCCCCGCAAACGACACCAGGATGAGCATTCCCGGCAGAGAGCAATACACTGGATCCCCCTCCAGGCTGCTGGGGAACAGGGGTGGGCCTCAGTGCTGCGCGATCCGAGGTGGAGGAGCGCTCAGTGGACGGCGCGACGTGGCCGGGGCCCGGGATGCCGCCGCGACGGGGTGGGGAGGCTGCCTTTCGCGGGGACCCTGGAGACCTGGAGGTGTGTGCCCGAGGGTTGGCTGAAATGGAGCCAGGGGCTCCAGGCTGTTTAGGGTTGTTGCTGTGCACGCAGCTAGGGCGCCTCGCGGGGTCGAGGATGGCTGCTGTGTCTCTGCCGCAGTTCAGGGTCAGTTTGGTAGTGTCTAAGAGGGACTTAGAATTAGGCAAGCGCCCTTCGAGGGTAGTGGAGACACTGAAAACTCAGAAAGTAATTTAAAAGTCCTCTTGCAGAGACAGGTTGAGTCCATTGAATCGGTGTGGCCATTGAAAATGACACACTCTCTATTAAATAAAGGTTATTAGAACAGCAGTGACAAGTTTACTTGTTAGGTTACTGGTTGCTATAACAAAATTCCCACAGATTCGCTGTCTTACGCTTCTCACCAAAGTCCAGATAAGTCTTGGGTTAAAATGAAGGTGTTGCTGGGCTGGGGATTTAGCTCAGTGGCACCGCGCCTGCCTCAAAAGTGCAAGATCCTGAGTCTGATCTTCAGTACAAAAAAGAAAAAAAGGGTTGGTTGGGGCTGGTTCCTTCTGGAGGCTTCAGAGGAGAAGCAGCTTCTGCTTTTTACAGCGTCTTATTTTTTGTTTGTTTTGGGAACAGGGTCTCTGTAGTTCATGCTGACCTTTAACTCAGTATGTAGCCCAGGCTGGCCATGGCCATCCTCCTGTTTCAGCCTCTCAAGTGCTGGGATTGCCGGTGTGCAGCACCAGGCCTGGTGGTATCTTCTTTTTTTTTTTTTTTTTGGTACCGGGGATCGAACTCGGGACTTGGTGCTTGCGCGGCAGGCACCAGAACCACTGAGCTAAATCCCCGCCCCTGTGGTGGTGTCTTCTTGTGAGTACCCTCATAATGATGCTGAGTCCACCTAGACAACTCAGGGCCATCACCCCTTGTCAGCATCCACCGAGAGCTGGGGGAGCTCAGGACACCCAGAGACTGATCAGAGACTGATCTTCGCTGTGCATTCACTCCCCTTCCCTCTGTTCTTACCCCTCCTCAGGCTGCCTCGCCTCGGGCAGAAACCCACAGCACCTCGTTTTCTCCTGCACCAAGGGACAGGGAGGCACTCTCTTCACAGTTTGTCTGGAGCAGCTGCAGGGGGCTGGCCGTGCACACTCAAGGGTGGATGGGGTGGGCTCCTAGGGATTTTTCTGTGCGTGTGCCCTCTGCCCAGCCACCTGCCTAGCCAGGCACCCAGAACCCCATGTTGGTGAACCCGACCCCATGTTGGTGAACCCTACCCCATCTGGAGGCACCCAGCAAACCAGGGCAATGAGCAAGGGGTGGTCTGGCCAAAAAAACTTTCCCCTAAGTGGAGTAGCCTTACACCTTAAAACCCAAAAGAACTGGTTCACTCTTCCTGTCGCCTGACTCCTAAGTCCCCTTCTCCACTGTGCTGTCCCCACAGTCATGAAATTAGGTGAGGCCTGCAGTGACCATTGGAACTCTTTTTTTTTTTTTGGTACTGGGGATCGAACTCAGGACCTTGCGCTTGCAAGGCAGGTGCAGTGCCACTGAGCTAAATCCCCAGCCCTCATTGGAACTCTTTGACATCAGCTCCCTGCCTGCCTGTTTCCCTGCAGGGCTGACTGCGCCCAGGCCTAGGCTCACCTTCTGCTCTCTTCTCTTTCATGCCAGTACACAGGAGTCCTCCTGTGACAGGAAAAGTTAGATGTCAGATGTGCCAAGTCTGTGTTTTCCCAGTACCCAGGAAGGGATTTTTTTTTTTTTTTTTCATGCTGGGGATCGAACTCAGGTCTTTGTGCTTGCACAGCAGGCGGTGGAACCACTGAGCTAAATCCCCGGCCCAAACCCAGGAAGGGATTTTGAGGGCAAAGGAGGTTAAGAGCAGGAAAGGTTTACTGAGAGAAAGCTCCTGAGAGACTGGAGGGTTCCTGAAATTGGGTTGCAGCTGAGGTTCTTTATTCAAGGATATTTTATGCAGCAAAATCACAATCTGGGAACAACATGAGTAGCTATGGGTGAAACCACACTCAACTTGTAGGATCACAAGTATAGCCGCTTAGCTAGCATTGATCTGACAGGGAAGCGGGGCATGCAGCAAGAGGACATGGCGAGCATCACTGACTTTAGCTGATCTCGTAACTTGCGCCAGAGCAAAGACATTCCTAGAAAGGGACAAGCATGTGGATCAGGGTGTCCTGGTCACCACCTATGTGTCTGGTGCCCACCTGGGCCCACTGGACCAGGCGGTGCTAACTACAGTAGGGTCTTGAGCTGGGGAGCAGAGATAAACAGCCCTGGCCTTTGTGGCTCCACCTTGCTGGCCCCCTTCAGATGCGCCTGCAGCCACAGCCTTGGTGTCACTGGGTCGGGGGTCTGACCCCTCTCTGGCTGTCTCTCTGTCTAATTGAGCTGTGCATGCTGGTTGCACCTTGTTTAAACTGTGAGGCTGAGGCCTAGCTAGGGCTCTGCTCAACACACAGTGGGTGCTCAGTGAGTGGCTGGAGGGTGCGTGTACGTGCTGCCGAATGTGCACGAGGAGAGGGCTGGGTCCCGAGGAGGTGACCTCTTTCCAGGCTCTTTATGCCCCTGCAAGCTTGTTTTGAAGTTTAAGAAACTCAATGGTGTCCTCCTGCTGCTCTCCCCCTGCCAGTCACAGTGCGTTGGAAATCATTTAGCCATTTCCTCACTGATAGACATTTAGACTGTGTTTGGGTTTGGATATTTACAGAGTGTTGTGCAAACACATTGAGAACCTTGTCCTGAGCCCATGTGTGAATGTTCCCCTGGACGGGCAGGAGCAGATACGTGCTGCTTCACACCAGCCAGGTTTGCTCTCCGAGCAGCCTCATGGCTCTACCTGTTCTGAAGGAGCCAGCAAGTACTTCAGAGTCGTTTCCATGGCTTTGGTCTGGCAGCAGAAGGGTGCCTGGGGTTTGTCTTGTTACTTGTGTTCTGGGGAATTCCGGGAGTCTGGCCCAGGGTGGCAGGGGCAGAGGCGGGAGGGCCTCCAGCAGGCAAAGTGAGACTGACGGCTGGCGGCAGCTGGGCCCTGCCTTCTCTGGAGGCCCCACCCAGGTGGAAAGGGCAGCAGTGGCTTGGGCCTTGGTTGGCGGGTGTCACATGAGCAGCTGGTAATGGCCAAGGTTGCCGGGCTGGCCCGGCCTGTTTTTCTCAGGTCCCTTTAATACGTGGTGAAGTGTCCAGACCAGCAGGTTCCAAGGACCTGCAAAGGGCTGGAGGTGGGGCTCCAGGAGCCCCTGTGCATGGCCTATTTTCAGGGTGACCCCGTGCCACCCTGTTCCCTCCAAGGATCTGAGGTGGCCCAGCTGCCCCTGTCCGGCCCTCCCTTGAGCCCCGCAGTTGTGGGCTGGTGGGCACATACCTCCCCGGTGGATCACCAGCAGCCTGTCCTCAGCCTGGGAAGGCTCCTTCTGCCCCGGGCTGGCCCGGCCTGTGGGGCCTCCTGAGCATAGAGGAAGGTGGATGCATGTGTTTTGGGGATCAGTACAGGTTTTCATGGGATTTCCAAAATATCAGTGCGTCACAGAGGCTGAGGAGCACCCCGATGTTCCCAGGGGATACAGTGGGACTCAGCTGTCATGTCCGTTCCTCACACTTATCCCCACCCTGTGATCTGCAGTGCAGGAGAGCTGGCCAACCTGAGCCCTGAGCCCTGAGCCCCAGGGGGACGGCACCAGGGTGTCCCCTTTGGGTGCAGCCTATGCTGGGGAGGGCATGTGCTGCAGCTGGAGGTCCTCAGGTGGCTCCTCGGGCAGCCCAGTGCCTCTGGAGATGACTTGCAGGTGTAGGTGACATGCCTGGCCCCAGGCCAATCAGGCAGGGCTGTTTTTGCTCACTACCTGTCCAGGGGCAGGCATGAGTCGTGGTTCCTTCCTCCATGAGGTGGCGCTGTGACCACCACGAGTTACTCTGCCCTTGCTTCAGTTTCCCCTGGACACGTGAACGTGCATCTGTCCTGTCCTCCTGCTTGGCACAAAGGGGCCTTGGCCCTGCTGGGGGCCCCGAACCAGACCTGGGAAGGAGGCCCCTTCAGCAAGGCTGTGCCGGCCAGGCTGGCCACCAACAGGAGTGGCGGTGCTCAGGAGCCTCCCAGAGAGGTGCTGGCCTGTCACACAACCTGTGTGGAGCTCTGTCAGCCAGCCTCTCACTGGTGGGAGAGAAATGTGCTGGGCTTTCTGTGGCTCTTGGAAGGCACCCAGCTGCCACCTGACCCAGAGCTAACGGCATGGACACTTCTTCCAGGGTGCCTTCCAGCCTTCCAAGCTGGCCATGCCTACTCCAGCTGGCCTGCCTGGCAGATGCTTAGGAAATGTGTGGGGCCGTGTGTGGGTATCTGTCCCCCAGACACGACTTCCCTTTCTCCCCAGGGCAAGTGTGTGCTGTGCTCCTGGTCGAAGGGCCTCAGCAGCCACTGTCCATAGTAGTGGCTGCCTTGCTTATTCAGGCTCTGTGCCTGTCCCGCCCTGGCTAGCACAAGGCTTGTTGTTCCCAGCCTGGCTGACAGCCTGCCATGTCCTTGGACTGGGCCTGGGTATCCCAACTCTGGGAGGACAGGGAGAGCACAGATACAAGAGGAGTTAGGTGAGGAGGTTTCCAAGGGTCTTGGCTTTTGGGGGCTTGGCAGAGTGGGCTTGATCCTGCCTGCCAGCCTAGCCTGTGCTCAGCACAGGATGGGGTGGGTGGACAGCAATGGCTTTCACATCCAGCCTGGACCTCTTGTTGGTGACCCCAGGCCACCTATACCCCAATCCTTGCTCAAGGAGACAAGAGGCAGGGACTCCCCAGGCCAGACCTGGTGTCCTGCCCTCTCTTGGACAGGAGGTGCCACTGTGGCTGGGGGCCTCTGTACCCCACAGCTGTGTCGCCCAAGCTTTGCTGCCTGCAGTGGAGCCCGTGGGTGCAGCACCCCTCATCTGCTCCTGGAGACCAAGTGGCTGGGCTCAAGAAAGGAGGCAGAACAGGCCCTTCCTTGCAAGGAGAGGCTGGGCCCTCCCAGACAGTGCCCCTTGTCCTGTGTGGGGCCCGAATATGTGGCCCTCAGAGCTGTGAGTTTGCTAAGAGCTCTGTTCCCTCTGCCTCCTGCCCAGACGACACCGTGTACCCACCATGAGTCTTGACATCCGCTGCGAGCAGCTGAGTGATGCCAGGTGGACAGAGCTTCTGCCCCTGATCCAGCAGCACCAAGTGGTCAGGTACGGGCAGCTCAGTCATCATGAGGGGTTGGGCGCAGATCAGAGGGGGCTCACTGAGCTGCAGAAACTCAGTGTTCATGGCACATGGTGTGAAATGTTATTCTTATGGGTTGTTTTTCAACCCTTAAAAAATTTAAAAACCACTGGAGCCAGGCATGGTGGTGCACATCAGTAATCCTAGCACTTGGGAGGCTGAGGCAGGAGGATCATCGTTGAGTTTGAGGCCAGCCTGAATTACATAGCGAGACCATCTCAGAAAACATAAAAACTACTGGGGATGTAGTTCAGGGGCAGAGCACTTGACGAGCATGCACATGGCTTTGGGTTCCATCCCTGACACTGCAAAATCACATTAAGTGTGTGTGTGTGTGTCTGTGTAGGTGTATATATGTGCATGTGCTCATATGAGCACATCTGTAGATCCATGTGTGTTTGTGTTTATGTGCATGCGTATATATATATGCATGTATGCCTGTGCGTACCTATTCATATATAAAATCTACATGGTCATGTCTGTGCATTCATGTGCACCTGTATTTATGTGTTCACGCATGTTTGTGCATGCATGTATATGTACATGCAGGTTACACATGTTAAGTGCACACATTTATATATGTATATGCACATGTACAATTATATGTACATGCACACATGTATTTATATGCACCCATGTGTATATGTGCACCTGGGTTTATATGTGTGCGTGTACATATATGCATGTTTCAGTATGTGCACTGTGTATACATGCTTTTGTATATATGCACGAGAGTTTTGCATGTATGTGTGCATGTGTGACCCGCATGTCTGTGTGCCTGTGCATGCACCTGTTTATAGGTGCGTGTGTGTCTAAGTGTATGCGCAGATTTGCACATATGGAAGAACCATTGCCAGCTCAGGCAGAGTGGCCTGGAGGCAGACAGCAGGGGCAGGGCAAGTGTGCAGCCTGCCCTGGTGACAGGCAGCCTGGTCCCCGGGGCCAGTGGCAGGGTGAGGCACCAGGTTCCCCTGTCTGTCCCTGTGGAGCTCCAGCTAGGGATGGAGTCAGGACCTGCTCTGGCCCCAGGTGCTCACGAGCCCGGGGCGCCTCTGCTGTCACTCTGAGCGCGGCCTTGTGGTCCTCACCTCGCTCAGGTTTGCCCCTCCTACAGACACACAGGAGCTGTCATGCTGTGTGCTCCACGAAAGCCTCAGGGAGCACGACAAGCCCACACGTGTCCATCCCTGCCTTCTTCTGTGTTGCACTTTAAGAGTCGTCATTAGAGATCCCCCTTTGAGCTGCTGGCCTGCTGATGGGTCCCAGCCTGAGGTGTGAGGTCACTGGGACTGAGACCAGTGCTGTCCCGCTGACCCCGAGGGTCTGTCCCCAGGCTGGAGGACTGTGGTCTCACGGAGGGGAGGTGCAAGGACATCGGCTCCGCTCTGCGGGCCAACTCAGCCCTGGCAGAGCTCAGCTTGCGCACCAACGCGCTGGGGGACGCCGGTGTGTGCCTGGTGCTGCAGGGCCTGCAGAGCCCCACGTGCAAGGTCCAGAGTCTCAGGTGAGGCCTGGTGCAGCCTGCTGGGGGCAGCAGGGCACTGCAGGGTGTGGGTGGCGGCTGCAGGCACCCCTTGCTCCAGCCAGAGGCACACAGGTAAGGTGGCCCCTGTGCCCCTTCTCCCTCACCCTGCAGACACGGGGTGCTGTCAGGAGTGGGGGCAGCATCTTCTGCAGGGCACTTCTTGGGGCTCTGGTGGGTGTGGGGGCCACTAAAGCCCTTGTTCTCCAGCTTGCAGAACTGTGGCCTGACGGAGACTGGCTGCCGTGTCCTGGCCAGTGTGCTGCGCTGTACTCCCACCCTTCGGGAGCTGTACCTCAGCGACAACCCCCTGGGGGACCCAGGCCTGCGGCTGCTCTCTGAGGGACTCCTGGACCCCCAGAGCTGCCTGGAGAAGCTGGAGTGGGTCTATGTCTCAAGGGGGTTCTGGCCCCAAGCTGGGCACATGCACAGCCTCGGGACGGTGGCCACCAGAGCTGTGAGGGGCAGTGGAGTCCCAGGGGCCTTTTGGTGTCCTGCCCCAGGGTTCTGGGTGTTCCCTTGGCAAGGGGTTGGTAGCTGGCCAGACATGACATGCGAACAGCTACGCCTAGTGTGAGTCAGGGGTCACCAGGATGACACAGCGCAGTGCCGAGGGCCTGCCCACGGGCCAGTTCCTTTCTGCTGGGTCTGGGAGAGTCCCAGCCTGTGAGCTGGACTCTCAGGGTGTTTCCCGAAGGAATGCCCAGCATGTCCGGAGGCTCTGGGCACTCCCGGTCCTGACCTGAGGTCCTGGCCTCAGGTTGGAGGTGGGAAGTTTCAGAGGGTTGGATGAGGAGACAGCGGCAGCCCTTGCACCTCCCTGACTCCATGGGGCCCATGGGGTGGCCTGAGACCCTGCCCACCCCTAGGCTGGAGTCCTGCAACCTCTCGGCTGCCAGTTGTGAGCCTCTGGCTGCCATGCTGAGGGCCAAACCCAACTTCAAGGAGCTGGTGGTGAGCAACAATTGCATCCAGGAGGCTGGCATCCGCATGCTGTGTGGGGGCCTGAAGGAGTCCACCTGTCTGCTAGAGACGCTCAGGTAGGCGCTGGGCCTCAGGGATGGAGGGGTGGAGCTGGGGGGTTCTGGGTGCCCCTCAGATACGGCCTCTGTCCCCAGACTAGATAACTGCGGTGTCACATCAGCCAACTGCAAGGATCTATGTGATGTTGTAGCTGCCAAGCCCTCCCTGCAGGAGCTGGACCTGGGTGGCAACAGGCTGGGCGACGCAGGCATCGCAGCACTGTGCCCAGGGCTGCTGCACACCAGCTGCAGGCTCAGGAAGCTGTGGTGAGTCAGCACCCTGACGGGGGTGGGTGGCAGTCATGTTCCTGTCTTGTCTTGGGCCTTCCTCAGGGAACATCAATGTCCTGCAGGCTCTGGGAGTGCGACATCACTGCTGAGGGCTGCAGGGACCTGGGCCAGGTCCTCAGGGCCAAGCAGAGCCTGAAGGCGCTCAGCCTGATGCTCAACGAGCTGGGGGATGAGGGAGCCCGGCTGCTGTGTGAGGCCCTGCAGGAGCCCAGCTGTCAGCTGGAGTGTCTGTGGTGAGGGCAAAGGGGCTAGGGTGGAGGGCAGGCCCTTTGCCAGGACAGCGGGACCCACGCAGAGGACACGGGATGCCAAGGAGACCTCAATGCAGTGTGGAAGAGGAGCTGTGGGTGCAGGAGGCAGAGCCCGGTGTGGGCTGGGAAGGAGGGGGAGTCCTGGAGACTCAGCCCAGGGGAGGGGCATTTGCTGCCCAGGCCAGCCAGGCCCCGCTTGTTTGTCCTGCAGGGTGCGGGTCTGCAGCTTCACAGCCACCTGCTGCCCCCACTTCCGTGCACTGCTGGCACAGAACAAGTTTCTCACGGAGCTGCAGCTGGGTGAGAACAGGCTGGGTGACGCTGGTGTGCAGGAGCTCTGCCAGGGCCTCAGCCAGCCGGGCTCTGTGCTCCGGGTGCTTGGGTGAGTGTGTGCAGGGCCCAGCTCCTGGACCTTGAGGTTGGCAGGGCCAGTCTGGCAACTGGGGGTTGGGGGTGGTGCCAGAGCCCCTCCCGCCATCCCCCAGCAGAACCCTTGGCTTGTGGTTTCTGATCCACCCACTTTGCTGAGCACTTCCCAGCAGATTTCCAAGAGGGAGTTTCTGCAGCGCTGTGTCCTGTGCTGCCCTGGCCACTTAGTAGATGCAGGGGTCCTGGCCATGTCTTTCCTGCTGATCTTTGGCTCCCAGAGGGCTCTGTTGTCCCTGATATCTGCTCGTTCCCTGGCAGCCTTTACAGATCAGGCCTTGTGTCCTGGGGCTGGGTGTGCTTCACCTTGCTGTGGGTCTGGGTCCTGAGGATTATACTTTTTTGGGTTTTTTTGGTACTGGGGATTGAACTGGGGACCACGCGTTTGCGCGGCAGGTGCCGGAACCACTGAGCTCAATCCCGGGCCCTGCTCTTCAATATTTGTTATCTCCTGTTTCCAGTCTGTGCCTCCTGGGGGTGGCTCTCCTTGGTGCTGGCATCCTGGGCATCAGGAAGGGTTGGGCTGGGCAGCCTGGGCCACACCCCTGCAGTCTCCTGCCCAGGGCTCACAGTCCTGGCTGCTGAGGCTGTGGGACCCTTGGAGGCAGAAGGAAAAGGAGCAGATGGGCCGGCCACACTGCTCACGAGGAGGGGTCCTGCACTTCCCACCCCCATCTTAAGAGACAAGGCGGGTGTGGCTCCACACCATCATCTAGTGCCAGGGCTGCCTTGGGCCTGCCCACCGTCCTTCCTCCGAAGCCTGCACTGTCCCTTGGCTTTAGCCCAGACAGACTCTAGTTGTGGGGAAGCAAAGGGAGGGTGTGCTCACTCCTTCCCTTTCTTTAGCTGGGATGTCTGCCTCAGGCTTTGAAGGGACTATGAAGGGACAAGGAGACAGGCTGGACTGGAGAGCTGGCCCCCTGAGATCTTAACTTGCCACACGGGCATATTTCAGTCTGTAGGCATCGTAGGTGTGGGCTTTACCATCCCACGGTGTGGTGGCAGCACAGGGCAGTCCATCTGCTGGTCTTGTCCTGACTCCTGCCTGCTCCCTGCACAGGATAGGGGACTGCGACTTGAGTGACAACTGCTGCAGCAACCTGGCCTCAGTCCTGCTGGCCAGCTGTAGCCTGCGGGAACTGGATCTCAGCAACAATGGCCTGGGGGACCCAGGTGTCCTGCGGCTGGTGGAGAGCCTCCGGCAGCCAGGCTGCGTGCTGGAGTGCCTGCTGTGAGTGGCTTAGGCACTGGGGGCGAGTGTGGGGGACCAAGGGTGCTGGCAGGTGTGGAAAGGGCCATTCCCTCCTGCCTGCAGCCTCTTCGATGTCTACCTGAGTGATGGGGTGAATGACCAGCTGCAGGCTCTGGAGGAGGAGAAGCCAACCCTGAGGATCATCTCCTGAGGTCCTCCTTCCGCAGGCACCCAGAATCTGTCCTTGGGACATGGAGGCGGGTCCACACCGCTGACCAGCTCTCCGGGGCTTCCTCCAAGGATGTCCTGGCAGTGACTGGGTAGAGATATATTGCAATCTACTTCTTTTTATAATTATTAAAGGGCTTTGTTGGCAGGCAGGGTTCTGTCTTTCCTTGTGGTCCCTGTGCAGCTCTGTGTGCGCCCTCCTGCTTAGCAGATCAGCAGTGCAGCAGCTCACAGCGCCACGTCCTCTGCCTAGGACCAGTTCAAGTCCCCCATGGGACATGTGGCTCCCGTCACAAGGGCTGCAAGCTCCTGGGGTTGCCATAGGCCGGGGTGGCGAGACAGGTCCTTAGGTAACCTGTCACCTTTGCCACTTCTGTTTCTAGACAGGAAACCTGGGTCCTGCCCACTCTGGGCAGTGCCCAGCGTAATCCCGAAGGACACAGTTCCGCACACTGTAACCCAAGAGGGCCTGGGGTTGCCCAGTGGTGGGTCCCGTGCTCAGTATGTGCAAGGCCCAGGGTTCCACCTGTCGCACGCACACACACAATTCCAAGAGATCACAATCCTTAGTCTGAAATCCCTACATTCATAATCCCGAAAGATAAAACCTCAAATGCTGAAATCCCAAAGTCTGAAATCTCCAAAGAAGCATTCTCTGAAAAATGGCTGAGAGAAGGCTATAATGCAAAATTCCAGACTGGGTGTCCAAACTTCTGGCCTGCCAGGGCCACACTGAGTGAAGAGGAACTGTCTTGGGTGACACAGAAAATACATAATACAGTTAATATATAGGAGTAACAAAATTTCCTTTATTGTTTTTTTTCTTTGTTTTTGAGACAGAGGGCCTAGCTATGTTGTTCAGGTTGGCCTTGGACTCACTGTGCAGTCCAGGCGGACCTCAAAGTCATGGCAATCCTCCTGCCACAGTCTCCTGAGTACTGGGATCACAGGTTTGTAGCATCACGCCTGGCTAACTTTTTCTGAAATATTTTTATTATAACATTTTAAAAAGGGTGATGCAAGAATAGAGGTTGGACACCATCTAAGAACTCTGGCCACGTGACAGGGCAACTATGAAGACTTCAGTTTGGGCTGGGGATGTAGCTCTGGCACCTCGCTTGCCTCACAAGCACAAGGACCTGAGTTTGATCCCTGGTACCAAAAACAAACCCAAAGACTTCAGTTTGAAAACATTATCTCATAGTTGCAAGCAGGTGAAATTAGATGCCTGTCTCTCCCTGGTTATAAACATCAACTCTAAATGGATTAAAGGCCTTGAATGTAAGACCAGAAGCCATGGAACAGCTAGAAGAAAGCAGGAGAAATGCTTCAAGACACTGGAATGTGCTACAATTTTTTGGATATGACCCCAAAAGCGCAAAAAACAAAAGCAAAAATAGACAGATGGGATTATAGCACACTAAAAAGCTGTACAGTAAAGGAAACAGAGTGAAGATAGAACTAGGGAATGGGGGAATACTTGCAAGCTATGCACATGACCTGGGGTTATAATCCAGGATATGGAAGGGACTCAAAAAACCTCAACAGCTGGGGATGTAGCTCAGTGGCACTGCACTTGCATGGCAAGCACAAGGTCCTGAGTTTGATTCCTGGCACCTAAAAAACCCCTGAGCAAACAATAGAATAGATATTTTTTAAAAAGGGCCAGGGATTTAGCTCAGAGGCAGTGCCTGCCTGGCAAGCGTGAGGGCCTGAGTTCAATCCCCGGTACCCCCCTCCCCAAATGGCAAACAGGTGTGTGTGTTCAGTGTCACTACTATACTGGGAATGCAGTTCAAAACAGGTGTTACCTCACTGCAGCAAGAACGACCATTACCCAAAAAACAAAAGGTAACACATAAGCCTGGGTGTGGTGAAAAGGGAAGCCCTGTACACTGCTGGTGGGAATATAAATTACTGCAGGCATTTGGGAAAACAGTATAAACAGATGTAACCACACGACCCAGCAATCCCATACTGGGTGTGTATCCAGAGGAAACGAAATCACGTTGAAGAGAGATCTGCACTGTGTTCACAGCCAAGGAATGGGAACAAGCGAACTGTCCATCAACTGACAAGTGGGGAGCAAGAGTGGCAAACGCACACTAAGAAATGTTATTGTCACAAAAAGAATCCTGTCGCGTAGCAACATGGGCAGAACTAGAGCTCACCGTTCGGGGATGAACTGGTGCCCCTTGTGGAACCTAGAACAACCGGTCCCAAAGTTGGGAGGCATGGTGGTTCCCAGAGACTGGGAGCATGGGATCACAGGGTAGAGTCTGGCAGATAACTAAGCTGTAGTTGGGGGACAACTTCTGATGAGCTGCTGCACGGCAGGGTGGTAGGACGATGACAGTCCTCCCAGCTCCCAGCTAGAGGACAGGTGTGTGACTGCTCACCACAGGGACATGAAAAGAGACAGCTGAGCCTGCCTTGGTTTGAACATTACGCAATGTACACATGTCAGAATATTACATGGTTACCATAAATATGTACGGTTTTTGTCAATTAAAAATAATTTTGAACTCACGTCATTTACCCACATTGGCAACCCTCTTAGGGGATGCAGTTCTAGCTCTTACTGACTCAAAGCTGCATTTTCCTGAAGCAGACAGTGAAGTTATTGGTTTGAAAAGAATCCAAGAAGGGGCCAGGGATTTAGCTCGGTGGTTTTGCCGCCTGCTGCACAAACACAAGGACCTGAGTTTGATCCCCGTTACCAAAAAAAAAAAAAAAAAAAAAAAAAATCCAAGAACCTTTGCTCAGTGGGAAGAGACACAGCGTTGCTGCCCCACTGCCCACACTGACCTGCCCAGTCTGCCTGTGTTGAGCGCACTGTGGGACAATTCTTCTTTGCCCAGGACAACAGTGTGGCTCAGAGGTCGGGAAATTCTGGATGAGAATGCTCAGGTTGTGCAATCGGATCGGAGAGTGATTTCAAAGAAAGCACTATGTAGAAAGTGGAGGTGACCCTCTCTCCAAGGACAGCCCTGCCCTAAGAAAAACAGCTCAACAAGGCTTCATATGCAGCGAAGGACTGAGCAGCCCCATGGACTGCCGCTACACCGCCCGACCCACCCCTGAAATGCACTTTCTCCTACACTGGACTCAGTTTCCCCACTAAACAACCAGCAGAGGTACAAATCACGTAGACTTTTTTTCGGGACCTTGCGCTTTCAAGGCAGGCGGCAGAACCACTGAGCTAGATCCCCAGCCCTAAATCACGAAGACTTTTAAAGTTCTAATTTGGTTTATGCATTCTTTGCAAATTTGATTTGATGAAAATGCATTATTACAGTCCTGATTCTGGAAGCGTTATTGTAACAGCGGGGCACAGTGGCACACAACTGTAATCCCAACTCTCACGAGGCTGAGGCTGGAGGATTGCTGCAAGCTCAAGGCCAGCCTGGGCTACATATACGTTCAGGAGCAGCCTGCACTACAGTGCGACCCTCAAAAGAAAAGAAAATGTATCCGGACATGGTGGCGCATGCCTGCAATCCCAGCACCTGGGAGGTAGAGGCAGAGTGCTATGACTTTGAGCTCAGCCTGGGCTACATAGTGAGTTCAGGTCCAGCCTGAAATACATAGCAAGACTGACTTAAAAAAAAGAAAATGTTATCCTAGTACATGAAGAGATGGAGAGATGGAGAGATGTCCTTTCTGTACATCTGCATTTGTGAAAGACAGAAGTTCCTAAGATCTTGGGCTCTTTGGGCAACTGCTTGTCCAGTAGTATCTCAATTTTTTTTTTTTATAAAATGGGGATGGAATTCAGGGCCTCACCTATGCTAGCCAAGTGCTTAATCTTGAGCTATAACCCCCAAATTTTTGAGTCTTGCTAAACTGCCCAGGCTAGGCTCAAACTTTCAATCCTCCTGGTTCAGCCCCCAAGTAGCTGTGAATACAGCTGTGCAGCCATGCCCAGTTTACATTGTCTTTTTTTTCTTGGTACCGGGGATCGAACTTGGGTCCTTGTGTTTGCGTGGCATGTGGCGAAACCACTGAGCTAAATCCCTGGCCCTACATTGTGTCTTGATTATGGTTTGTGTGCTTTGTAGTGTTAATCCATGCAACTGTTCGTACACGTGTTTATACTTGCAAAAAAATGTTTGCCTATTTTTTTTTGTTTTTTGGACTGGGGATCAAACTCAGGACCTTGTGCTTGCAAGGCAGGCGCGTTAGCACTGAGCTAAATCCCTGGCCCTGTGTTTTTTGGGGTTTTTTTGGTACCAGGGATCAAACTTGGGTCCTTGAGCTTGCACAACAGGCTGCGAAACCACTGAGCTAAATCCCCGGCCCCCCCTTTGTTTTTTGAGACAGGGTTTCACCATGCAATTCAGGTTGCCTTTGAACTCACAGTGCTCCTCCTGCCTCAGGTTCCTGGCTGCTGGGGTTACAGGTGTGTGCCACTATGCCTGGCTTTAAAGAATTTTTAAAAATAAAAATTTCTGGAATTGTATTTTGGGGATTTGACTCATTTGAGAGTTGGACACTAGGATGATGCCCTTCAGGATTGTGACCCAAATCTGCCCTTGCTTGGGGGTGGGTCTCCTTGGCTCTGCTGCCAGCTATGTCCTTGTGCATGTGCTGCAGCCCGTGCAAGGTGGTACCTGAGGGCAGCAGCCCCTGGGCTTGGCCACTCCTGCGCCCTGAGCTTCTGAACTGCTGGCCCCACATGTTTCCCCCAAGTCCCTGACTGCCCAGTGCCCAGGTCAGCTTAGGACGCTGGGGGTTCTCTCAAGCCCAGCTGGCCTCATCCTGCCACTGGCCACAGCAGGCCACGTGGTGGACAGGGAACACTCCGTGTCAGAAAAAGCCCTTTAAAGTACCACAGGCTCTATGCTTCCAAGCGTGACCTCTCCACTCAGAGGAACCAGGGTGCCCTAGAGAAACAGGTGGCCCTAGGGGCCCCAAGTCAAGCAACAGCCTCTGTGGGGAAGAGCATCACAGCTCAGCAGATGGCACAGGTCCCCAGAGTGGGATGGTGACGGCGCTCATGGAGCTTCAGTGACAGCCTTGAGCCTGACGTCCTGCTGGGCGGGGACAGTGCGACCCGGGGCAGGACACTTGAGTAGGCTCATCCTGTCCCTGTCTCCAGGGTGGAGGCCTCATGCGCACGGCGTGCTCTGGCCTTAAGTAGGCACTGAGCAGGAGGGGCTCAGGGTCGGCTCAGGAGTGAAGTGCTTACCTAGCCTGCACAGGGCCTTGGGCTCCGTCCGCAGCACTGACACACCAGTAGCTTCTGAAGCCTGGGCACTGCAGGCGCATGGGGGCAGCTGGTACCCAGCCCTGGGCCCAGTCCCTTCCCGGGCAGGTCTCTGTGGGGGCCTCACCCTCACCCAGGTGGGGCCCTGGAATCATCGCACTTTCCTCTCATTCGTGTCTGAAAACTTCCCGGGTTTAACAACCAGAACCACAAAGATGAGAACGCTTGAAAGCTTTAAACATACTGGCTGGGAACAAAATAAAACACCAACTGAGAAGACGGCTGCCTCTCCCCAGTGCCCTCTGTTCCTGTCCCTTGAGCGCTTCTCACCGGTCGCCAGTCCTGTCCCCCATGAGACACACACAAGTGTGCTGGGGGCTGCAGAAGGCTCTGCAGCCAGGACACACACCGGGGGAGCAGCTGGACCTGCTGCTCTCTGCCCGAGGCTGTGGAACGGCTTCATCCTGCACAGCTGCAGCCAACAGCGAGGTCCCCTGGTCTCCAGGGCAGGGAGGAGTGCTGCAGGCTGAGGACCTTCATCATTGCTTTATGTGTTCTGTCTGCTCGTGGAGTCACCCTCAACGCAAGGAGCAAGGAGCAGCGCAACCCCGGCACAACGGCAGCCTGTTCATGGAGTCTCTGCATGATATGCGTAAGGTGGCTGGCTGGGAACCTCTGTCCTGTCATGCTCCACCCAAGACAGAGTCTGGTTAGCAAAGGCTCCGGAGGAAGGGCCCAGTGCCACCACAGCCTAGGTAGAACACTATCCTTCACTTGTGCCACTGGTGGGCACATCAGCAGGTCTTTCAAGGCCACACGGAGAAGGGGCTCAGGCAGTTCCTCCCCAGCCAGCTGAGGCGACGCTCTCTGTGGATAGAGGTCCTGGCCAGCCAGGCAGACGGCCGGACAGGAAGCAAGCCCCGGCCACCACGGCCACCTGTTGGCCCTGGAACAGTGCCAGGCGTACACTACACACATGTGCACATGCTCACTGGTGCACGCGTCTGTGCACTTGGGCGGGACAGGTACACAGAGCAAGGGAGGAGAACAAGAGCCCCAAGAGGCAAGGCCTGTGGGAGGGGCTCATGAGGCAGCTGCAGCACCCTCCTTGGTGACATCCTCCTCCACAGGGCCCCCAGGCCCCGGCAGATCATCATCTAGCCCTGGGGGCTCTGCCCTGCTCCTGACTGCCCTGCCCTGGTCGCTCTGCTGCTTCTGCCTCTGTGTCTCCTTGTACCGCAAGGTGATGTCCCTGGGGAGTGAAGGCCACCTCACCACCTGTGCACTGCAGCTCCCGTGCAGGGCTGGAGGACCCCTGACGCCATCACCCCGAGGAGCCTACGTAGGACACAGAGGAGCCCCTGTGGGACATGGATGGTGGGGGGCCATGCAGGCTGCACCGCATGGAGGCGGCAGCTGGGGCACGGGGTGGGGCCAGCCTGGGCAAGGGGAATGGCTGATGGTCCTGGGCCCACTCACCGCAGGAAGAAGCGCCAGATGGTCCAGGTGAGCACCAGGACGGAGCCGAGGGTCCAGCACTGGGAGATGTAGAAGGGCAGGGACAGGGTGAGCGTGTGCGGGTCGTACTTCACCACGATGAGCAGCTCAGTGACCGTGATGGCTGCCACTAGCCAGGCCTGCTGGCCCAGCTTCTTGTGGGGCTTCCTGGGGAAGAGGCGGCAGCTGTGAGCTTCCCCAAGCCCCACCCTAGGGTGCCTCTTGTCCAATCCCAGTCCCCAGGATCCTCAGACTGGCCACTGTGCTCACAAATCATCCATGAAGTCATAGATCTCTCGCATGGCCACGCCGCCCACGTTCACGAAGAAGACCAGCCTCAGCAGGACCAGGTAGTGCTCGGGGGGCATCCACAGCACGAACTTCAGGTAGAAGGTGTTCAGCTCCGCCAGCAGGAACTAGGGGACGGGAGGGGTCAACATGGCTCAGGGCACCCAAGGGGCACAGCCATGAGGTGCCCCAGCCTTACCACAAGGATGATGCCACACACGGCCAGCCAGCGGCGCAGGCTGGAGGCTGGCTTCCACTCGAAGCGGACCCAGCTGTAGGGCGTGAACTGGAAGGCTATGCGCTTCATCTTGCCCCTGGGAACAGAGCCGGTCCTGAGCACAGCCACCCGTACCTGTTGGTGCCAGCTCTATTCTGGGTCAGGCTGTGGCAGCAGGTGGCCAGTGTCCAATGCCCAGGCACAGCCCCGTCCCACACCTGGCCCTGTTCAGCATACCACGGGGGCCCGCAGGGGCGGGGTGGGGCTGCCCACGCCCTCCCCTCCCCCAGGCCTTCTGCAGCCTCTTGCCTCCTCTTGAATGAGACAAGGCCTTGCTATGTTGCCCAGATTGCCTCAGACTCTGGGTTCAAGAGATTCTCCCGACTCAGGCTCCCCAGTAGCAGGGTCCTACAGAAGCATCCCACTATAGCTAGCTTGGTTTCTTTTGCTTCAGTCCCAAAACAAACAGGAAAAAGCAGCTGCTCTGGCCCCATGCCACTGAGCCTGGCCCCGACTCCTGTAACGCACTTGTAGGTGGGGATGTTCCAGAGACCCTGCCACTTGTACGTCTTCAGAGACAGCCACTCCAGTGTCTTCATGCCGCAGTAGATACCCAGCCCGTTGCAGACCAGCACATCCATGAGCCACTGGGCAGGAGCCGGGAGACAAGTGAGGCCCAGCCCCAGGACACGTGTGAAGACCCTGCCCACCACCCTGGCACCTCAGCACCTACATGGTCCCACCAGCACTCGCTGAAGTTGGGCAGCTGGTGCTCCAGGCTGTACTCAAGGAACTCGAACATCACGCTGATGATCATGCACATCCACCAGTCCCGGATCATGAGGGTCTGCAGGGAGCACCACAGCACTGTTAGCACTGTCTGCAGTGGAGTGGATGCAGACCTGCCCAGCAGGCCCCAGGGAGCACGGCAACGGGCAGCTGCCCCTCCAGCAGCCTCAGTATTTGGCTTTTCAACCAGTATGGAGGTGTCCACACTGGGACTAAGCGAAGGCCAGCCCCGCCCTGGCTGCGAGTGGTGTGCAGGAGAAACACTGGATCCTGGGGTGGGTGGGGCAAGGTGTGTGCAGCTTCCTGCCTGCTGTTCCTCTCCTCCTCTTGCCTGGCCACCACAATGCCAGGGATGGTGAGCAGATCCACTGGAGAGGGGGACAGGCTGCTGCTCCAGGCCTGCGATAGCCCTGGGCCCTCCCGGGGGGCTCTACACACACCTGTGGGCACAAGCCCCACTGCCAGGCTCACCCACCACCATACCCAGCTCACCCTGTTGCCAGAGATGGCCAGAGCAGAGTGGCCTAAAACACGGGGCTGAGGCAGAGAGCAGCATACCTTTAGGTACCAGCCAATAAAGTGGGCAGGAACAAAGCCGTCCAGCTTGTCCTGTGGGTGACAGGAATGGTCCTCAGGCACAGCATTTTCCCATCCCCCGTGGCGCCCCTGCCCACCATGCCAGGGTCTTGCTTGTGTGCTGGGGGCCCCTGGGGTGACCCACCTCAACAGAGAGCAGGAAGCCCCTCAAATGAGCCCCACACATGGGTGACAGCTCCTGTGGCACCCTTACCCAGATGTTGTGGAAGGGGTCGGTCTTGTTGTCTGGGTCATAGATGAGGCAGTTCCCTCCGTAGTCCCTCTCGGGCAATGGTGTCCCCAGCCTGGCATCCACATACTTTAGGAACTGCCGGCCATCATGCACTGTCTGCAAGGCCACATGTGTCAGATGGGGCCCTGGTGTAACTGGCTTCATCTCAGCCTGTCACAGCACGAGGGCTCCCACTCCTCCTCTGACCTGAGCCCTGGGAGCTGGCAGAGCAGATCAGGCAGGGGACACAGGACTTGGATCCCTAGGTGAACAAGGGCAGCCTCATGCTGCTACCCCTGAGGCCACCCTGGAGGTGTGCCGCTGTCTCCTCTGAAGTGAGGGAGGACACGGTCTTCACGCTCAGGCAGGCATCAGCTCAGGCCGGCAGCTCCTTCCAGCCTCAGTCAAAGGAAACTTCTGGGACACAACCTCAGCAAAGAAGGTGCCCTCAGGAGGCCACCAGCTGAGGACCTTGGGGAGGCAAAATGGCAAAACAAGGTCCAGGAGGGGTGGGAGGGGTGAGAACAAACAAGTGCATAGCGCATGACACTGTCGCACCAGGGACAGGTGACAAGACACCACAGACAGTCTGTGGCAGGGACACGAGACGCATGAGATCCTGCTGGGAGCAAAGCCACAGGTGCTGGGCACAGACTCCCTGTCCAACAGTGCTGTCCCTAGTGCCATTCCAGGGTCTCCTGACCCAGGGACCCAAGTGCCTCCTCAGACCCAAGGGCTTCAGGTGCAGCTGCAGTTTGGCCCCTGCTTGGTGGGACAGGCCTTAAGACTGTGAGTCCAACTGATACACTTGTATTTTATTCAAATATTACTGTATTTTCACTGAAAAATTCTCTTTAGTATCTGAATACATAAAAATTCTTAGGTTTTAAAAAAAAAACTTATGAGTTCTCTACTCTTGGCAAAGGTCAGAGGCCCCAGACCGCTGGACCCCTTGGAGAGCAGGGGGCAGCAGGGAGGGAGCTGCAGGGCCGCAGTGCCCACTGTTTTTGAACAGATGCTGCCACACACAGACATGGCCAGCACACATGTCTGGACGGATGGCCAGCACCCAGCACCCAGATCTTGGCCTGAGACGGTCCTCTAGGAAGGAGTCCTTGCCCTCAGGGAAATGGCTGACTCTAGGGCTGGGACAGGGGGTGCACGTGCCTTAAGCACCCTGCAACACCCCAGGTAGGAAAGGCTCTGAAAAACAAAAGACCAAGGCCCCCTAAAAATGAGGGTGTGCCAGGCAATGAAGGAACGAGAGACCTACCAATGGCCTAAGGAACCTACGCAACACAATACAGTATTGGATATAACCTAGGTATAAAATACAAATCCTGAGTGCATGCTGATATAAATAAATGCCTGAGGGGCCGGGGATTTAGCTCAGTGGTTCCGTCAAGAAAAATCAAAGAGAAAGAAGAAAAAGGAAAAAGTGAAGAATCACCAAAAAAAAAAAAAAAATGCCTGAATGATAAATGGTGGAGAGGGGTCAAATCTCCCTGCAGAGGAACTGTATACAATACCAAGTCATACACAACAGTAGTCCCCTCCTTCCCTAAGTCACGCAGCAGCAGTGACTTCCTACCAGAGCACACCATGCAAAAGGCATAGTGCAGAACCCGGGCAGGTAGTGCCTCACCCATCACAGTCAGCCTCAGCCATGATGACCGTGTTGACTGTGTGTGCCTTACCCACGTCAGATCCTCAGAAAATTGGCCCCATGTTGGGCACCAATTACCTGAAACCCCCACAGTTCGGTTCCAGTACCCTGTCCAGTATACGATGCAGGCCTGAGAAATAAAACTAAGAGACAGAACTGGAACACAGAAAGCAGGCGTCAGGACAACCAATGCTGGTGCAACCGACAAAGGCCCTGGCCAGTCCCAGGCTCTGACTTATTGGCAATCAACTGGGGTAAAGGCGAGCTGTGTGCAGTTTCTGTGCAAATTAATGTAAACAAGGCTCATAAAGGACAAGACAATGCGTTCTCAAATTAGGAACAGAATAGACAAAATCTATGGTTGTAATTAGAACACTGTCCTAGTCAGAAGGTTTTAGTTGTGGGAACAGAATTTGGGTGCGAGTTACTCTGACCTCAGCTCGTAGCCTTCAGCTGGACTCACTGCTATAAACAAGCCAGTCGTGGGGTTAGCTCCTCACAGCCTGCTTTGGCCTCAATCATACTACAGTCCTCTGCACATCAGACAAATCCCAAGTAACTCTGATGCGAAAGCCAGAAAAAGACATTCTGGGAAACTGCAGACCAGCATCTCTTAGGAATACGGATTCAAAACCCTAGGCAAAACATTAAGAATGAAGTCCTGAGTATGCTAACAGGTTTGCACACCACGACCAAGTGAGAGTTAGCCCAGCAATGCACAGTTGGTTTGAAATGAGAAAGTCAATCAGTGACATCTCACATCAAGTAAAAACTCACAGAATCATCTCACTCCATGTAGAAAATGCATGTGACAAAACCTAACGGGCTTTCTGGAGAAACACACTCAGCAAACTAGGAATATAACTGAATTCTCTCCAATTGGCGGGGGCAACCAGAAGCCACAGCACACACAGTTAATGGGGAAAGATGGTGGGCGCCCTAAGATCAGGGACAAGGAGAGGAGACCCACTCACACCCCAGCGGCGGCCCAGCCAGGCACAGGCGAAAAGAGGACACAGAAAATCCCAACTGCTGGGCCAATGGACAATGTCTCAGGACACAAACTTAATATAAGAATAGGCTGTATTTCTGTACACTAGTAACGAGCAACCCAAACATGAAACTGAGGAAACAATTCCCCTTACAACACCACTGAAATAAATAAAACACTGGGAAATGAATTTAACACAGTGTGAAACTTATACTCAAAACTACCAAACACGGTTGAAAGAAATGAAAGACAATCTAAACCAACCGAAGGACAGCCTGTGTTCATGTACTAAAGACTTGATGGTGTTGGGATGACAATATCCTAAAACTGACCTATTCCCACCAACATCACATCCTCTAGGGCTAGGACGGGGCTCAGTGCTTGCCTACCATGTGTGAGGCCCTGGATTCCCAGCAATAATAAAAAAGGAAAAAAGGGCCGGGGATCTAGCTCAGCGGTTCCAGTGCCTGCCTCACAAGCACAAGGTCCCGAGTTTGATCCCCGGTACCAAAAAAGAAGGAAAAAAATCTCACCTGCTCCTTTTACAGAGCCAGGAAGGTGATCCTAACATTGATCTGGACATGCAAGAGACCAGATGAGTCAAGACAATCTTGAAGAAGAAAAGTTGAGGACTCATATGTCCCAATTTCCAATGTGTGACCTTGTACTAGATACTGGGACAGACTTCCTCAGAGCTGCCTGGTTATGAGAGACAGTGACAGTCTGAAATTACACAACTCAGAGAGTCCAAGAAGGGGTGACAGGTGTCACTTGGCGACCTGAAGTGGATCCTGGGCCAGAAAACAGGCATTAAGTAAACACTAAGGAAATGTGAATTAAGCTTGGACTTCAGTCATATCCCAGGCAAATCAAACCACAGTGACACACAACCTGTACTCAGCAGCAGGGCTCTTACTCATCAGAGCCCACAGACCCAGCAGTTAACCCCTGGACCCACACAAGAGCACAGAGCCAGGACGGAAAGCAGTGGGTGCTTCAAGTCAGCCCTGGTGGGGTGAAGACGCACAGTAGTGTGGATGGTAAATACACACTTGGTGGGACCAGCGAGCTTGCAGCTGTAGAGAAAGGCAGACATATCCACACAGAGCTTGGATGGGAATGTCCCCACGTGGGGACCAAGGAGTTGCCTTTCTGCGGGAGTGACACCGCACCTGGGATGCCCACTGTGATGTTCCACGCATACAGAGACAAACTCTGGTGATGGACAGAAGCAGCAGGCAGGATGGCACATCTCCAGTACAGGAATATCAAGGGGGCCTTGAGAAAGTTTGGGGTGAGATGCAACTGTTTCGTGTCCTACTGCAAAGGGTTTTCCGCAATCTGATGTGTATGCAGACTCACAGCACTGCATGCCTGCCCTCAGCAGTCCATTTGCTACCATAAACAACCCAGCCACACACCAGCAGGTTTTGAGGTCTCTCAGGAGAGCACTCTGTGGCCCAAGACCACCAAGGTGTGTGTTTCTTCGGCAAAGCAGAGTACAGCTCAGCAAACCAGCTCTTAGGGTAGCACGCCCTGGCTCAAGACGACCGGAAGGAGGTAAGCTCCCAACTTCACTGGGCCTCCTGCAGAACAGAAGCCAGGTAGGAGAAAGTACCAAAGAGCCAGACACCCAGCAACAGCTGGCTCTCACATGCACCGGACTCCCAACCTGGCCCACTGTCCTGTCTTTGTCTGGGCACAATAGCCTGTCCCACCTGCACCCGCATCCTGGCCCTAATGGGTCCAGCCTGGTTTCTGCGAGTGCTCTGGGGCCAAGTGTGCAAAGCCTGCTGTCATCTATTCCCAGTTTATCTGACCAAGAAAAGCCACTTACCTGGAAAAGGATAAAGATGAGAAACAGCTCGTAGACCACACTAACGCAAAGCCAAAATCGCCAGTAAGCTACAAGGACAAGAAACAGGAACATCAGGGTTGCAGCCTGGTCTCCAACCTCTGCCCAGCCCCACGGCTGCTGGACATGGCATCTGTCAGGCCTTCATGTGCCTGGGCAGAGCCTCTATAGAACAAGGTCACACTCAGGTTGAGCACACAGTCTCTGAAATGTAGAATGTGTTCTCTTTATTTTCTTCTTTTCCAGTCCTTAAATCTTTGAATTCTTCTGCTCCTCATCTTATCGCTGTGGCACAGAAGGCCCATTAACTGTCAGGCAGAAGCAGCGATGGCAAATGTCCCTGTCCTGCATCTACCAGCACTGCTTCTAGCATGCAGGATTAGGTCTGAAGCAGGCTTTTGGTGGATACTGTTATCATGCTAAGAAAATCTTTTGACATAATCCCAGCACTCTGAGGCTGAAGCAGGAGGACTGAAAGTTATGGCCCAGCTTAGGTCAGTCAGCACAATCCTGTCTCAAAACTAAATACAAAAATGTGCTTCAATATGAAGGCCCCGAGGCCACAAAAACAAACAAACAAACAAACAAACAAACAGCTTTTCAATCCAATATGCTTTTTATCATGAATAGGTATGAACTTTTATTTTTCTGTCTCTAAGACAACTGAGTTCTTAAAATACATTAGTGCAATGACCATTCCACATGAAGACACCCTAAACTGCTTGTGCAGGTGCCGAAAGCAGCACCAGGGGGCTGTGCTACTTGACACGCAGTGGCCACAGTGGCTGCCCAGAAGCTGACTAACCATGCAGCAAGCTCCTGGGAATGTGCAAACATGGCTCTGCAGCATAAGACGAACAGCCGAGGCTTCCAAACTCCACACCAGGAGTGTGGGGAGACACTAGCTGGCTCAGGGGCTGTGGTGCAGCCTACCGGGGGCTCTTCCAGGAGTGCCCAGTGCTGCGAGGCCACACAGCCCTGCAGGTGCCTCATGCTGCCAGGTCTGAGGTGACCTCGGGCTGACCATGTCTCTTCAGCCATGCACTTCGTCTTTCCTATATCCCCTCCCAGGGAGGGTCCCACCTCAGAAGTCGGGCTCAGAAGTTGGTTCTAGTCCTGAATTCTCACCAATCTTTAGGTCCACCTCTACATTCGCCTTCTATGTGTCCCTCATCACTCCACGAACAACTGCTGGCATTGGTGCCCCTGACTCCAGGCCCACACCGAGTAGAGTACTTCAAACAAAATCTGAGAGGGAGCCCAGTGCAGGGCCGCACACCTGGAATCTCAGCACTCTGGGAGGCTGAGGTAGGAGGATAGCAAGTCTGAGCCCAGCCTGATATGAGACACTGTCTCAAAATTAACAAGGGGAAGGGCTGGGATGTAGCTCACAGCAAAGGCCCTGGGTTCAATCCTCAGCACCATAAAACAAAAATACCGAGTGGAAGGAGAATAGGGGCAGCCTCAGCAGAACTGGGGACAGTTGACTACTCTTCCTTTGGGCGGGAGCTGCAGATGAAAGTAAGAACCAGGGCTGGGCTGGGGTGTAGCTAGGGGTAGAATGCTTGCCTAGCACCATGAGTCCCTGGGCTTGATCCCTCAGCACTGTCACAGCAAAAACAAAACTACCAGGGAGGGAGGGAGGCCTTCTCCAATGAACTGCAGCCAATTACAAGTTTCCAAATAAAGAGTTCCCCAGACAGGCCAGCTGGAACCTCCTTTCTGTGTCTCCACGGAGGTCCAGTTGCTCACGGCCACAGCATGGCAGCCTGGCCAGGCTGCTCCTATGCCTCGAGCTGAGGGGCGGACAGCACAGCCCTGTGGGGACCACTCTGTGGAGCTGGGAACCCCCCGACACGCCTACCCGGAGTGGCCTCTCTCATGCCCTCCACATGTGTCTGACGGGAAGACAGGGATGAGGGGATTCCAAGCCTACGTTAAAAGATGTGCGGTGCCTCCAGGACAGGCTTCCATAAGCATAAGGCAGAGACTGCCAAAGAACATGAGTTTATAAAGCCAACTATGTTGACCAAAGAGAGGCTGAGCAGCACCCAGAAGAAAAGCTCAGAAACAAGCACTCTCCCAACATGAGGGAGGAGACAGAGAACCAACACGGGAAGCCAGAGCAACACTTATGCAGCTGAAAGCTTCCAGAAGCGTCTATGTTTGTCAGACAGAAGGACCACATTACTAGGCACCTGAGAAGCTAGGGTCCCCACTCACGCGATGCATTCTTATCAGAGCCTGATGGGCCTCAAGGCAGAGGGCAGGCACTGGCTATGCTTCAGCTGCTCATCGAGTCAGCCTGCAGGGACTTGGCATGTGGGCCCTGTGTGGCTCAAGCACCTCACTTGTCCCTGGTTCTGGTCCGCAAGCCTGACTGAGCAGACCCTGCCTGGTTACTCCAGACCCAGTACAGCAGCTCCCACCATGTCCACAGGGCCGAGCAAGGATGGCTGCGGAGGGCAGCCTGCTAGGCAAAGGCACCCCGGGACCCTGGGCAGATGTGCCCATCTACAGGGCTGGCAGGCTCAGCCTTTAACTCTGTGCTTCTCCTGGAATGTTTTCTTAGATTAATAATCGGCTAATCACACAGAGACTACATGCAGACATTCATAGCCTAATTTATCCCAATAACTAAAAACCAGCTGGGTGTGGTGGCACATGCCTGGGGTCACAGCTACTCTGGAGGCTGAGGCAGAAGATCACTTGTGCCCAGGAGTTTGAGGCAGCCTGGGCAATGTGCTAAGACCCCCGTCTCAAAAAATAAAGACAAACAATAAAAAGCTACATACAGTATGATTCCAGTGTTTGAAGCTATGCATATATATATATATATATATATATATATATATATAAACATATCAGAATTTAGTTTTTTGTGTGTTTTCCACAACTGAAATCTCTATTGAGACAGAAAATAAAAGTGTTTCTAATTCTTCTGCAGTGACCCTGGAGGGAATCCAACCAATACCACAGTGGCTGAGCTGGGCATCCAGGCAACTGGAGCCTGGGGCCAGCGCAGGGCAGAGAGAGGCCTATGGCCCTTCAGCTCTCAGATCCTCAGGGTGCCCCAGGGTTTGTCAGAGCTCGGGGTGGAGGCTGGAGGCTGGCAGGGAGCAGCAACCCCAGGCCCCAGCCCCCCCTCGGCCCTGGAGCACCCTGTCTGCAGGAAGGGGGCAGGACACCCACAGGGCAGCAGGGAGCAGGCTGGGTTCTGAAGGAACCTGCTGTGTCAAGAGGAGCTGGGAGGGGCAACAGGACACTCACACCCAGGCGCTCAGGACAGAAGGCCACAGGGCACACACGGAGAGAGAAATGGCGAGTTACCTGGATGAGGTCTGGAAAATGGCCCATCTTTGGCTTGTGTGACTCCAAAACATAAGAAAACCAAAATACTGGCCACAATACCTCTGCAAACAAAGAACAAACAGCCCTCAGTGTGTGCAAGTGTCTCCCAGGCAGAGGTGGGAGGTGGTAGGGACCCTGGGGACCCCTGCTTCGGGCAGCCCTGGCAGCTGGGGCAGGGCAGGAAGCTGGCCACATAGCACCTACTTCTGGAACCAGCATTTCCCTCTCTCCAGCTCCACCATCTGAGGTGGCAACACACTCAAGTGCCCTTGTGTTAGGGGCTGCTTGTTGTTTACAGTGTCTGTGTTGCCCAGTTAATAAACACTGAAAGCCTTAAGCTTCTACACCACAATCATGACAATCCCTGGAGCCCTGTAAGATTAGGGCTGCTGACTGCTCCCAGCAGGATCTCTAGGAACTTTCTGTCCTACTGGGGCCATCTCCTCCAACACCAAGGAGGCCCCTATGTCACATGGAAGGCTAAGGCCACACTCCACTGTACTCAGGTGCTCAGGAGGAGCAGGGCCATGTGGATGGAGGGGCAGAGCTCCTGGCACAGGAGGAGGAGACCGCCAGCTCCCCCTCTACCCCCGGAGCTCACTCCACACAGGGTTTTGGGGCCAAGCAGCACAGAGGGCTGCCCGTCCATCCTCTGCAGCCAGACCAGGCTCTGTTCATTCAGGACCAGGGCAGTTCTTGGCCCAGGTTTTTTTGTTCTGTTTTTGGTGTTTTCATGATACTGAGGGTGGAACCCGGGGCTTTTGCACTAAGCTGCATCTCCTTTCCTACTTTTGAGACACAGTCTAAGTTGCCCAGGCTGGGATTGGACTCATGATCCTCCTGTCATCCTCCCAGAGTGCTGGGATTATGTGCTCAGCCTTGGGCCAGTTTTAAGGGTCCCAACTCCGCTGGGCATTTGTGGCCCCAGTAGCACCATGTGAATTTCTGGACCAGGCTCCACAAGCCCCAGGTCCCACACTACTGTTGCCAGGACAGGAGCAGAGCCCTGGCGTTTGGCTCAGGCCAGGCACACGCCTGTCACTGTAGCCTCAGGCAGGGTGGGAGGTGAGGATGGCACCAGCCAGGGCTACCGCAGGGAGCTGGACTCAGGCCTGGCATACCTGCCTGAGGCCCTGACAGGAGCCTGTGTCCCACCTGCCTGGGGCCATCCCAGTCCTCGGCCACACTCAGCTGTGTCACGTAGGGTCTCTGCGGCTATACATCCCTGTGCCTGTGATGACTTTTTATGGCCAATTTATAAGAACTTAATACTAGGTAAGATCTGTGCATTTCTTTTTTTTTATTTTTTGGTACCAGGGATCAAACTCAGGACCTTGCACGAGGCAGGCGGCAGCACCAGTAAGCTAAATCCCTGGCCTTGTGCATTTCACTTAAGAACTTAGTACCAGGGTGCAGTTGGGTGAAGGAGTAACTTAAAAGGAGAACTAATATGCTTTTGAAATACAGTCCATGCTTCATATCTCCTTAGCTTTCCCCAATGTCCTTTTTGGCCCCAGCGTCCCGTCCAGGACCCCGAGACATTCAGTCCTCAGCCTCTGCAGCGCCTGTCGGCAGGGACAGAGCTTTGGACTCTGCTGTCTCTGAGGACCTGGGCGGCTGTGCTGCAGGATCTCCACTGTCCACTTTGTCTGCTGCTTTCTTCATGATTACACAGGGTGGTGGGGCTTAGGGAGGAAACCCCAGGGGCAGCGCAGCCTCTCATCAAGTCACTCCGGGTCCCCACTGTCCCCAGGGCTGTGACTGTTGATGCTGACCGTGAGCACCTGGCTGAGTGTCTCCCTGGTCTCCACAGCAGCCCCCGCCTTGCTCGCTGGAAGGGGTTGGTGTAGTGTGCACAGTCACGTGTGTGGGGACCTAGACTCCTGCTCCCCAGGGTGCAGTGTCTATGGAGGTCACCTGGAATTTCACACGGGAGATCTGTCCTTTCTCCTCAAACAATGAACTTATTTAATCACTAATATCAGCATGGACTTGTGGATATTTATTTTATACTTGGCTATGTCCCAACACTACTGATTTTGTTGCTCCCAACTGTTCCAGCTTTGACCACGGGGGCTCTTTTGTTTGGCTCTTGTACTGCTTTGTCATGACCCATCATTGTGGGGCTTTATGTTACCAGAGAAAGGGCCAGGCTCATTTTAGTTACTTCCTGCCCCAGCCCCAGAATCTGCCACTTCTCCAAGGTGCCCTGGCCCTTTACTGGAGAACATCAGAGGCCAAGATCTGGGTGCTGGATGTGCTCACTGCCACCGAGCTGTGGTTGGCTGCAAGCCCTCAGGTCACAGAGAACAACACACCTGTCTGCACTGCACTAATGGGTGCCTTTGCTATACAAGCATCCTAAGTGTTTGTGGGGGTAGGTTTCAGGATGCCCTGAAGATACCAAAATCCTAGGACACTCAAGACTCTTATATGAAACAGCACAGTATTTGCATGTAGCCTAGGAAATCTTCCCCTGTACTTTCAATAATCTCTAGATTACTTATAATTCCTGACACAATGTAGCTGCTATATAAATAGTTGCTACAATGTATTATTCTGGGATAGAAAGTCTGTCCTTGTTTAGAATTAATGCATTTTCCCCCTACATATTTCCAAAATTGGTTGAATCCAAAGATTTAGAACCCACACATACAGAAAGCCGAAATACTACACGTATTTCTCCTTATATCAATCTATATTTTCACTAAGCTACACCTGAGCTCTTACTGATGTCTCCAATGTTATCACCAACCACACAGGTGATGGCCTATAGCCCCACAAATTTCCAGCACCCACCACACAACCATATGCACAGCAATGGAGACTGTCACCCACACCTGGTGGGCCCAGCACCACCGGCCAGCACGCAGCTCTGTGCAGCTTCCTTGCCTGGCCTTACAGATCCAGCCATCCCCAGAGCCATGCATCCCCTCCCAGGGCTTCAGCAAAGCCTCAGTGCATGTGGAAGAGACATTCCCTCCACAGTCTGTCTGCTTTCTGGGGTCCCCAGCAGCCTCAACTGGTTTTCAGTCCACACGCAGAGGGTTCACTGTGTCATTCTATGGTTTGACAAACACATCATGGCACATCTCCACCACTGCAGGAGCAGACCGAGCAGCCTTGCTGCCATAAAAATGCCCCAAGCTCTGTGGGCTCCTCTCTCCCTTCTCCTGAAGCTACTGTCCTTCCCACCATCTGCCTTTCCTCCTGCAGAACGCAGGAGCCATAGTACAAAGAGTGAGAGGTCTTCCTACTGCTGAACAGAACACTCAGACTATAGCTTCCATGGCACTCACTGCAGGAGGGTATCTTGGTCGCATCTGCTTTTTGGTGATTACATACAAGCTGCCATGAACACTCACATGTGGTCTTTATGTGGACATTAGTTTCACTCCAACTGGAGAAACACCCAGGGAGGAGCCTGATGCTAGATCCGACGGTAAAAGGACACATGGAGTGCAGGACACAAGCTGCCTCCCACCGTGGCCAGATTACTTCTCCCTTTGAGCAATGAGCCTGAGCTGCTGTTTCCCATCCCTGCCAGTGTGTGTGCTGTTTAAATTCAGCCCTTCCAACAAAGGTATAGTGGCACAGTATCTTGTGGTTTTTAATTTGCAATTCCCTAATGTATCTTCTCCTTGGTGGGGGATCTGTCTAGGTCTTCTGCCAGTTTTTATTTTCTTAATTTAAATAATTTCTTTTTTGGGAACAGGGTTTTGCTATGTTGCCCAGATTATCTCAAAACTGGGCTCAGGTGAATCTTCCTGCATCAGCCTCCAGAACAGCTGGATCTACAGGCACTTATTACCACAACCAGCTTGTCCAGTTTTTTTTTTTTTTTTTGGTACCGGGGATCGAACTTGGGTCCTTGCACTTGTGAGGCAGGCGGCAGAACCACTGAGCTAAATCCCCGGCCCCCTTGTCCAGTTTTTAATTGGGTTGTTTCTTTTCTTATTAGTCTGGTTTAAGTGTTCTTTGCATATTTTGAATATAAGTCCTTTATCAGATATGCGTTTACCAATAATTTGCAAACTACCTGCAGCTTGTCTTTCCACTCACAGTGTTTTTACAAAGCATCAATTTTAATTTTAATGAAGTCCAATTCACCAACTTCTTTTCTGTGCTAGTGCCCCTGGTGGCACACCTCAACAGTCACCAGCAAGCCCAGGGCCGTCTCACTGTGCTCTCCTTGAGAGGATGTATAATTGTGGATCTAGGCCAATTTATAATCCATCTTGGAAAGCTCTGTGAATGCAGATGGAGTAGGGCTTGGCGTGTGGACATTCACCTGTGGGAGACTGTCCTCCCTGCTACGTAGCCTAGCCCGTCAGTCACAGACCAGTGGCTGCTCCTGGGGGGTCTGCTCTGTGTCATGACCCCGTCTGGGGATCACTGAGGCTCCTAGTGTCGGTCCTACACTGCTCCTGTCCAGCGCTATCATCACAGCGTATATTCAACTTTTTGTTGTTTTCTGAGACAGGGTTTGGCTGTATAGTTCAGACAGGCCTTGAACTCACCATGGTGCCCAGACTGGCCTCAAACTCACAGCAATCCTCCTGCCTCAGCCCTTCAAGTGCTGGGATTACAAGTGTGCACTATCACGTCTGGCCGTGTATTTGACTTTATACATATTACAGATACGCAAAAAACAATCGCTACTTTATTCACATTTACATCTGTGTAACTCATGTGCTTAATATGATTACAATGTTTACAGAGGTCTAGTTTACTAAATTTGCAAATGCAATAGAAAATTAATTAAATATGAGGGTGAGAAAGCCTGTCATCTCCCCCAGGTCACACAGATAAATGAAGGCTGAATGTGCAAGTCCACCCAGAGACACGACACATGGCACATGGCCATTGTTCTGCAGGGAAAGTGCAGACATAGGAGGACACAAAACAGTCCTACTGTACAAAACATGACACACAGTGAGGCCTATGCTGCTGGGGCCGATGGTAAGGTTTGCAGCACGGGTCTGGGCCAGATGGTGAAGAAAATACTCCGTGCCACCACTCTGTGGTGGGCACATAGGTGTGCACATTTGTCAGAACACATGAACCATACCTTTAGGCTATATAGCAAGTCCAAGGCCAGTTGGGTACATGATGAAACTGTCTTAAAAATCCAGGAAAAAACCCATCACAAACCAAGTACCAAACCAGTACATCCACAAAAGGAACAATGATATAGATGCATAAATTAAAAAGTTTAATGAAAACAAATCTGTTTCCCAAATTTTTAACTTTAAAAATATACATGTTAAGCCAGGTGTGGTGGCAGCTCTCAGGAGGCTGAGGTTGGAGGAACGCTGGGAATTTGAGGCCAGACTGGACTACATAGCAAGAGCTTGTCTCAAAAAACCAAAAAAATCTATCTATCTATCTATACATACGTATGCATAAATTTTAAAAATTCTTGGAGCCAGAGATGGTGGCACACTGTAATCTCAGCACTCTGGGAAACTGAGGCAGAAGGACCACAAGTTCAAGCCCACCAAGAATCCAGGCCAAATGCAATCAAATGAAAAAGCTTCTGCACAGCAAACAACCAACAGGGTACAGAGACAGCCTACAGAACAGGAAAATATTTTTGCCATCTATTCCATAGGCAGAGGACTAATGCCAAGAATATATATAAAGAGGGCCAGGGATTAAGGGGCTAGGGATTTAGCTCAGTGGTTCCACCACCTGCCTCGAAAGTGCAAGGTCCCAAGTTCGATCCCTGTACCAAAAAAAAAAAAAAAGAATACATAAAGAAATCAAAAAAATTATACTCCCCAAAATAAAAGGCCCAGTCAAAATATGGGCAACTGAGACGAATAAACACTTCTCACCCCATGCTCACAAATGGGCTACAAATACATGAAAAAATGCCCAGAAGAGAAATGCAAATTAAAACTATACTGAGATACCAACTTATCCCAGAAAGAATGACCAACATCAAAAAATCTAATAGCAACAAATTCTGGAGAGGATGTGGGAAAAAAGAACTCTTCTGCATTGTTGGTGGGAAAGTAAACTGGTACAACCACTCTGGAAATCAGTGTGGAAACTCCTCAAAAAACTAAAAATAGAAATTCCATTTGGCTTAGCTATCCCCTTCCTAGGTATCTTCCCAAAAGAGTTAAAATCATATGACAGGAATACATGCATACCCATGTTTATAGCAGCACAATTTATTTTTTTATTTTTTTGGTACTAGGGATTGAACTCTAGACCTTGCACTTCCGAGGCAGGCAGCGGAACCACTGAGCTAAATCCCCCACCCTAGCAGCACAATTTATATAATAGGTAGATCTTGGAAACAGGGTATATGTCCATCAACAGATGAATGGAGAAGGAAATTGTAGTATTTGTACAGCATGGGGATCAAACCCATCAAGTACTATGCTTACATAAAGAAAGATAAAACCTGAAGCATTTGTAGGTAAATGGACTCAACCTGAGAACATAATGTTAAGTGAAATAAGTCAGACACACAAGCTCAAGTATCACAGTTTCTCCTATATAAGAAACACACAAAAAATACAAATATACAAATAAAGAGTAAAATAGAAGAGATAAACAGGAAGTAGAAGTTCAAATACTTCCCCAAATTACCTGTTTCAAGAACATTTTAAAATGTATATGCTAATTTGTTTCATTTATACTACTAATTTATCTTGGATCATTGAAAAGAAACTTACATTATCATCTGCTTCTTTTTTTTGGTACCGGGGATCGAACTTGGGTCCTTGCACTTGCACAACAGGCGGTGAACCACTGAGCTAAATCCCCGTCCTGTTTGTTTCTATTTTTAAGAATTATTTTGGGGGCCGGGGATTTAGCTCAGTGGTTTTGTTGCCTGCCTCACAAGCACAAGGACCCAAGTTCGATCCCTGGTACAAAAAAAGAAACAAAAAGAAAGATAAAAAAGGACTATGCAATGGCCCTTAGTTCAATCTCCCCAGTATTGGGGGAAAAAATCTTGGGCACACCTCAGTGGTAGAGCACTTTCTTGGTATGCGTGAGGCCCTGGGTCTGATCCCCAGCATGACAAAAGTAAGTTTTCTTTATGTGAAACCTCTGGGTGCCCTGAGCACCTGGGCAGGAGATACCTGGCTGCCACAGGCTTCCAGTGAAGCCTGTGGGTCCAGAGCAAGTGGTGAGAATGGAGCCAGGACAGACGCACCCAGTGTGACTTCTCTGGAAGAGGTAGCAGTGCTGGGGATGGTGCAGTGTGACCTGGGGTGACCAGAGTCTCCCAAGAGGAACCAAAAGCAGGTCCCAGGGCCCAGCCTTAGAATTACGGCAGCAGGGACAGGTCCTTCATGCTCTTGAAGAGGAATGGGGGGAGCAGTGAGTATGATAAACAGATGTCCAGTGTCCCCAAAATACAGACTTCGGAGGTGAAAAGTGCCCAAGAGCCCTGGGGAGGGTAGACACAGGGGCCACAGTAGCTGCAGGGTCTGAGGCCCTGGCCCTCCAGCTCTAGTCTTCCCAGTGTTGAATGCAGGGCCTGGGGTAGGGTTTGGCTCTGTGACTCATCTGGCAGGGATCTGGTGGCACCCTTAGAGGCTTTCCCAGAACAACACCCTGATCATAGACTGATCTTCAGGGGAGGGGTAACTTCTTCCTGTGACAATTTTTGCCCAGTGATATTGGAACTGCACATCTCTGACCAATGTCACTTGCCTCATGGAAACCGTTTTTTCTGTTGTTATTGTTGTTAATTTTGGTGCAAGAGATTGAACCTAGGGCTTAAGCTACATCCCTTGCCCCTGGAAAACTCCTCTTGAGGTGTAGCCAAGTCCTTTCTCTTAGGACTCTTCTTCCCACTATGCTCACCAGATGCCACAGATGTTTCCATGTCCAAGGCCAAGAGATGAATTCACAGGAAGACTCATCTCTCCACAGCCCTTCTGGGCAGATGTAGGCTCCTGCTGACAGTCTCCCTGCCTGCACACCATTGCCCAGTGGCCCCAAGTGGTCCCTTAACAGGCAACAGTGCAGCAAAGCCAGATCCGGGGCTGAGGCGACATAGACTCCTCACCCACTCCTGGCTGCTTACAACTCAGGGCCGACCTGACAAAGAAAGATGGCCAGGTGGGCCTGCAGATGGGGTCCAGCACAGGGTGGCTGGACACAGCAGATGGGATGGGCCTGTGAGCAAGCTGGTACCTAAGATGCAGGAAAAACAGGAAGAGCCAGTGAAGCTGACTGGCAGCTGGGAGGAAAATCCAGAAAGCACAGCCCAGGAACAGGTGCCTGCCAGGCCAGGAAAAGAGAGGGCAGAGGGGCTGGGGAAGTGGCTGCTCTCCTATAGTCTGACAGCAATTCTGCACCAGAAGCCCTGGTTTACCAAGGATGTAAGCTCTGTTAGGTCCATTATGGGTGGACAGACAGGCCGAGCACCTAATGTTACCACACTCATGGTGAGCTGCAGTGTGGTTACAGCTGCCCTCACAGATCACTGATCCCTAGTGGGGTGTGCCAACCACACCCATATGTCCGTATCGCACCCACTGAGGATACCACCTAATCTTCATGACAGACACTAAGGCTGCAGCTGTTCTAAAGCAAAGTGCTGGCTCAGAGCTGTTACGACCACATCCCACAAGCCTGGAGGCCACTAACCAAGGCTGTCTCATGGCCCTTGCCTTGATGGGCCTTGGGCACCTTGCTCCACCTCTGTTCCCATCAGACCAGCAGGGCGTGGTCCCTGACAGCAGAAAGCACCAAGGCCGAGGACCAGAGGAGCAACAGGAGTGATCGGTCTGATGTTCAGAAAACTCAGAACTAAAATGAACTCTAGAGTCAGCTGTGGTACATACTAGAGAACAGCCTCAGGGACCATGCAGTCCAGGCAAGGACCATCCTTGTGACTGGCCTGGTGTGGAAAATCCTGGGAAGTGAAGTCACAGGTGGCCACTGGATGACCACCTGGTGTCTTGGAGTGGTTTAAATACTTAAAAAGTGCTACCATCAAAGCCACTCTAGAATAGTGCCAGCTCAGGGGACCACCCAGGAGATGCTATAGCACATTCCCGTCTCTGCAGTGCAAACTGTGGCCAGGTCCTAGTGACCATTCCTGGGCAGGGAGCACCATGCGGCTCCAAGGGTAGCTATGACAGTTGATGCCTCAGACACACAGCAGGAGGTGAGGAGCCCTGGCAGCCTGAGGACAACAAGGACACCCCACCCTCCATGCCAGGCAGCCATTACCTCTTGGTGTTATAGGCTGTGTCTTGCGGTGTTTCTTCCAGGAGAGTCACATAGCCCAGTGCACAGGTGAGGATGAACAGCACAGTTAAGGTGTGGGCTCGCCTGCAATCCAAAAACATACAGGCAGGGTCAGAGGACAAACCATGTTCCAGAAATCATGGAAAGAAATACACAGAGAAACAGAATTCAGGTAAAATATAAAAGTTTTACTTGCAAGCAGACGGGACCACCAGAAACTGGTCTGGTCAGTGTCCACCCTGATGCTTTGTTCTGCTTCCTCTTTTATACCTTTGTTAGTCATTATCTCATCCCTAGTGGTCTTTGTTAAGTAAATAAAGTTCCAATTCCTGTTTACTGGTTAGATACAGGTGGTTTCTGTTACTGATTACAGTCCTAAACACATGACAGTTAAGGCACATATACCACAAGTTTGCCCAAGCATTGCAACTTTGTTCTTCAGAGTTAGGATGTTACCTATAGTAGAGCTACAGACCAAAGGAGCTATATAACCTTCACTTTAAACAACAAAAGTAATGGGGTAAGGCAAGCTTTTATTTTATTTTATTTTTTATTTTTTGGTACTGGGGATTGAACTCGGGTCCTTGCGCTTGCGCAGCAGGCGGCAAAACCACTGAGCTAAATACCCGGCCAAGGCAAGCTTTTAAAGGGATACACTACCTATTCTGCTTCTACAACTACTTTAATTTTCAACCTATTAAGCTGTCTCAAACTTTTTCCCTATCAACCACATGACCAAGTTCTCACATGGCATGCACCAAATCACCCTGTACAGGACAGGGTCCTGGCTGGACACTAAAGAGTCCTGTATATCTTCACTACACAGTAATCACGGCATGGACAGATGTCAGCTTCAGTTACAATTAAGGCTTGTCTTTTTTTTTGGTACCAGGGATTGAACTCAGGTCCTTGTGCTTTCAAGGCAGGCGGTGGAACCACTGAGCTAAATCCCCAGCCCCTAAAGCTTGTCTGAAAAGGGACTTCAGTGCTTTGTTTTTTGTTTGTTTCACTACTACTTTCCAGTAACAGCGATCTTATAGCCTTTCTAGTGGTCGGCCAGCCAGGGCAGCTCTGATCATCCGTTGAGCCTCTTAGGGAGCACAATTTTTCTTTTAGACAAGGTCTCACTATGCAGCTCAGGCTGGCCTCAAACTCACATCGATCCTCTTGCCTCAGCCTCCCAAGTGCTGGGATTACAGGAGTGTGCCACCATGCTCAGCGGGACCCCAATATTTGCATTCTCTAAAAACACAAAGATTGAGCTCGATGTGGTGGTACAGGCCTGTAATCCTGGCACCCAGGAGGTTGAGGCATGAGGATACTGAGGTCAAGGCTAGTTTGGGTTACATAGTAAAGTTCAAGGCCACCCTGAGGTACTTAAGCTCTTCTCCAATAAAATCCCACGAAGATCATCTAAAATCTGGGAAAGGTGGTACACATCCGTAATCTCAACACTCTGGGAGGCTAAAGAAGAAGGATTGCAAGTTCAAGCCCAGCCTGGGCAATTTAATTTGGGGGGGGGTGTGCCAGGGATCAAACTTGGGACCTTGGGCTTGCGAGGCAGGCGGCAGAACCACTGAGCTAAATCCCTGGCCCTGGCTTGGGCAATTTAGTAACTTAGTAGGACCCTGTTTCAAAATAAAAAATACAAAGGGCTGGGGATATAGCTCAATGCAAAGGCCTTGGGTTCAAGGTATCGCAAAACCAACCAACCAACCAACAAACGAACAAAACAACACCTAGAAAATAAGTAACTTTTTGCCCTTTGAGGTAAATGTTCGCCCTGTCACTCAAGAAGTCACTGAGTACCTGGCCCCTTTGGCCCTGGGGAAGCAGAAGCAGGAATAAGGAGGACCCAACTCTGTCCTTTCCATAGCAATAGGAGGAGAGTGGGTCAGAACACCAGCATATCAGACTTACAGAAGGACAGACTTCAAAACTGCAGAATTAACTTCTGCTGAAAAGTAAACCCATCTCATTGTTCCTTGCCTGCACACAGCATATGTGCATCTACACACACGGAAATAACTGAGTGACTCCTGAGGCGGACACCCCTGCCCCACTAGGTGCCAGATGTGCACAATGGCAGCTCTTTCCACCTTGCCTGTTTGCCCTGGTCCTGCAGTACACAGGTCTGGGTCCCATGATTAGGCACAGAACTAGTCACTCTATAGGGGGTAGGGCATGAGGACTGGGTCCCTTCCAGGAGTGGAAAATATCCAGTTGTCTCTCTTTAGAGATGGCCACACTCACCATGCTGAGTGGTAGGAAGGCAGGCGTGCTAAGACCAATGAGGAGAGCATGAAGGCATTGCCAAGAGTCAGGCCTGCCCATGGCCTGCCACAGGTTCCCAGGCTGTGACACTGCCCTCCTGGCCCAACAGCCAGCGAGACCAAAAAGACATCAATTGACCAGTCATGCTTCCCAGATGTGGGCAAAGCTGGGAAAGCCCTAACCCGCAGGGGCTGAGAAAGGCATCTTTTGGAAGCTGGGGTACCTAAGATCTCCCAGGTACCCTTGAGGCTGCAGGGCCAAATAAGATACTGATGCATCAGAGTCCCAGGTCATGGAGAAGGTTCACTAGAGCACCAAGTTCTAAGATACAAGATAAAAATTCTCAAAGTGTCCAGACCTCACTCCGGTGGGAGCTGGTTGGGGAGTGTGGGCACCCATAGTGCTTCATCATCAGGAGCAATGTTCCCATATGTCTCTCCAAGGTGATGGTCTGAAAAGCTCTTCAGACAAGTTTTAAAGGTATGGGAGACTGAGCTTCATAGAGTGCCTGTGAGTGGCCCTAACACTCCCAGGGCTTCTCTGCTGGACAGCCACATGAACACTACAAACGGCACAGGAGGCAGCACCCTTGCCACCTCTGACCCAAACTGCAGGTCCTGTGGCTAACAAGTAGTTACCAAAACTAAAAACCTGCCCAGGGATGTAGCTTAGTGGCACAGCACCTGCCTGGCAAGCGCCAGGTCCTGACTTTGATTCCTGGTGTAATCATGGTGGTGCAGAGGATGGAAAGATTACAGCAGTTGGGAGATGAGACTTGTCTGAACACCAAAGGCCCACAGGGGCCATCTCTATGGAGAGCGGGACATTACCAGGGTAGCAGCTCTTATTTAGCATCTCAGCGTAAGAGGAAAAGCAGGAAATAAGCAGTTTGTGCAAGGAACTATCTCAAGGATAGGCAGCTTGTGGAGGAAAAGGGAAGGACACCAGTCAGACACAACATAATTCACTAACCTAAACTTAGCTAACCACTCACTGCTCAGAGAGCCTGAGTGCTTTTGCCCTGCAGGTTAACCATTCAGTCCTTGGCCAAGTACCCCACACTAAAGATAAAAATTTCTTCTGTTAATTTTGGAACTTAGACATTTCTACAAACATACATTTTTTTGAGATTCATTGGAGGAGGTGGTGCTTGAGACAAGGTCTTACTACTAAATAGTCCAAGCTGGTCTTAAACTTGCTATGTTGGGCTGGGGATTTAGCTCAGTGATTACGGCACCTGCCTTGCAAGCGCAAGGTCCCGAGTTCGATCCCTAGCACCCACCCCCCCCCCCCCCCCCCGCAAAAAAACCAAACTTGCTATGTAGCCCAAATCTGGCCTCAAACTCAAAATCCTCCTTCCTCACCCTCCCAAGTGTTGGGATATCAGGTCATCAGTGGCCCATAAATTCATCTTTATTTCATGTTAACTTTTTGTAACATTCATTATTAAGGTCCTATAAAACACAGGCTGAGGATGTAGCTCAGTATAGAGCACTTATATAGCATGCAAGAGACCTTGGGTTTGATCCCCAGCATCATAAAATGAAAAATCTCTAAAACACAAAATAAGAGCTTTTAAAATCCTAGCACGGGGTGGGGATTTAGCTCAGTGGTTCTGCTGCCTGGCCTGCAAGCACAAGGACCCAAGTTCTATCCCCGGTACCAAAAAAAAATTCCTAGCACAGCAAGACTGTGATGGAGTACTGAGAAGGAGCTTGGCAGCATGGCTCTGCAGGGAGCATAAGTCATTTTTACTAGGCAAGCTACTGGTCACCTCTATGAGGAATCATAAAGCTCTGCCTCCCCAAGATGCAGTAAGAACTTGCCCCATGCTCCTCTGCAATAAGCTTGGGGGGAGGGGAAACCACCTGCCCAGGAGATGCACAAAGGTGGTACATGACACTAGGCAGGCTGTATCCTCCTGGTAAGTCTTCTGACCTCCAGCCTTTCCATGGGTAAGCTCTGCTACTTCCAGGGATCTGTGCCTTCAGCACCCCTGTGAGCAGACCCCAGAGGGCTGCCAGTCTGTGCTTTCAGAGACCAGTACAGGCTTTCTTAAAGCTGGGAGAAGAGTGTGCTCTGACTTCTGCTGCTTCTCATTTTTCCTTCAGCCAGCACTTTCTGGGCTTTCTCAAGTTCAGAGCTATGCCAGAGTCTAAGTGCTCATTCAATTCTTTGCTGTGCCCCCTAAATGCTAATAGCACCCAGTAAGGGTCCCCAAAATATGTGCTGGATGGGTGGCTCAATAAACAAATAACGAATGTGAAACATGAAAAGTGAGCCCAACCACTTCCTCCAGGACTCTGCATGCCCAGGGGTTCTAGGAGATATTATAGGAGGACAGTCTTGTCTGAGGGGCACGGCAGGACATGGGATGATGACAAGGCCCTGAAGGTTAGAGAATCCACACGGCACCAACTCTGTGGCCACACCCCAGTGCCTTCTTTCCTTCTCTATGGCTCCATAGCCACCAGCATATTTCCCAAAGCAGGGCTGGCTGACCATAGCCCAGGGTTGGTGTGTTGACAAATGTGGCCCCACGCCCCCCCACCAGTCTTCCCACCACTTGACCTTATCTCTCCAGAGTTTCACCTGCCACTCCCACTTGCAAGCCAGAGATACAAGTCAGATTAAGACAGGGCCCCTCAGAGATCTGGCACCTTTCCCTGAAAAGCACAATCCCTCCCCTACCATCTCCCCGTGCCCGCCCCATGATTAGACTTGCTCTCTGACAAGACCACAGGTCAGTTCTCTTAGAGCTGTTTTCCCTTTCCTGGAGTATAGTCTATCTCTGGATTTTCCTGGGCCCCTATCCCTAGAGCCCACCCTGAGCCTCCAGTGCAGCTCAGCTGAATGGGAAATGAACTTTCTGCGATAAAGAAGGGTCAAGCCTTTTCCCTCTTCAACCATGCTTTCTGGTCTATGGGTTTTGTCTTTCTCACAATTGAGGAAAGGTGAAGGGTTAGCCCAAGGTCACAGAACGCATACCTGGGACCTGTCAGTCAGTCCCAGATGAACATCCGCTGACATCTCACCAAAGGTAGAAGGTGCAGCCTGACCTCAAGGCTTGCCTGGAGCCAAGTTGTGCAGCAGGGGCGGGAAGGGGGATGGGAAGGACAGACGGGACTGAACAGAGCAGTAGGGCTTTCGCTTCGCAACGCCGAGCAAACCCTGACACCCAGCGAGACGCCACGCTCACGGGGCCAGTTCACGCCACTGCACGGGGGAAGCAGAGCGATTACAGGGGCCGCTCAGGAGTGCTGGTCCGCAGAGTAGAAATTCAAGGGGCACGAACGTCGGATGAGAAGGCCAGGAAAGCCTCCTGAGCTCATTCTGGAACCGAGCCCTTCCAAAGCGCGGGGAAATGCATTCGACCGACCCCGAGGGGCCTCCATTTGGCCTGCTCACCGCCGAGACCCGGGCCTCCAGACCTGTCCCAGTCTCCAGACCTCCCCGGGCCCGCTCACCCCTCGCCTGGGGCAGGGCGCCCCCTCCCGTCTCCGGCCCTCACCAGAAGAAAGTGTTGGTGCCGTCGTCGTAGACTTCGGACTCGGTGCTGCGGCGGCCCTCGGGTCGCGGAGACCCGGACCGCAAACCCCCAGCAGCTCTGCGCTCGGCCCTCCGCATGGCGGCCCGCCCGCACAGACTGGCAGGCGGCTCGCGGGGCAGGGGTCGCGGCGCAGCCTCGCGGGGTCTCCGCAGAGAGGGGCGGGACTGCGGGGCATTGTGGGACTGGTAGTGCTCGTCTGAGCCGCGTGGGACGCTGGGTGCCGGGCGCAGGGCCTGCCGGGAAGGACGCCGTCTGGTTGCTAGGTGACTGCCGTCCGTATGCTTCCGGCGTCTCCCCGGCGCAAAACTTTCTGCCTTTGGTCGGCTCCCACTGTTAACACGGTCGGGAAGCCGCAATAAAATAAAATAACATAAATTAAAAGGACTAGCCTGAGTAACCTTGAAAGACAACCTCGCAGCTCCTCAAAAGGTTAAAAAGTGTTACCACGTAGTCCCGGCCGCCGGAGAGACACGAACACCGTTCTCGGAGCTTGGTGTCCGCTGTTCGTGGCTGCGATCCCGAGATACTGTGATAGGAGCCCATTGCCTGTGAAAGGGTGGTCATACACACAGAAGTGGTGTGTCCAGCGGGTTAATACTACTGCTGATAGGAAGTGCAGAGGATGGGAACGTGCAGGAAAGGGGCCGTTGCAAAAGACCTCGAATCACACGGCCCATTGATAGGAAGCATCCGTGCAAAAGAGCGTCAGCAGCAGCTGCGCTGCGGAAAGGTATCGGTCCTTTGAGTGATGAAAGAGGTTCAAATCTGTGGCTACAAGTGTCAACCTGAAAAAGAAACCGGTCTCCTTTAAGAGAAGGGGAGCGGGGACTCGCCTGTCACCTGCTTGCCAGGCCACTGCTTCAGTGATAATGGAAATTAAAATTTAGGGATTAAGCAAGAATTTACAGGGGAAAATAGTTTTAATTGGAAAGTAAGAAGGGCCGAGAATATAGCTCAGTGGTGCAGCGCCTGCCTGAGGTTGATTCCAGGTAGCAAAAAAAAAAAAAAAAAAAGCAAAGTAAGAGAAAATGAAGGGGGTACAGCACACCTCTGACAAAGATCAAGCCCCCTAACAAAGGAAAGTAAAAGAAAATAGGGAAGGGGATTCAGTTTGAGGAACAGAAGGGGACAGAGGTTGGAAAAGGGCCAGCCTTACAGGGTGCTGTAAAAGACTAGGGTTGATCATGATCTCATTCTTGGTTTCCTAACTCCATAAAAATCTCTGGCTTGGGGGGGGCAGTTCTGTTCCCATGAGACGGCTGTTTCCTCTTGAGGAGTATCAGGACTGTGAGGCTCTGCTGGAATCCAATGTGACTCCAGGTTATGGGCAATGGAGACTTCTGAGTGTAGCTGAATGTCCCTGTAAATCTTTACATTGTGCAATCCCGGCATCTGGGAGGTTGGGTCAGAAGGGTCTGAGTTGAAGACCAGCCTGGGCTACACAGTGAGTTCAGAATGATATCCTATCTCAAAAAAACAAAACACAGAACATATTTTTAAAAAAATTTGCGCCCTCAATCTTGAAGAGGGATGAGATAGGTTATGCAAATTTAGGGCTAATCAAGTTTGCCAATTTTTAGACTCCAAATGATTGACATGTCTATATGCAGAGCTGAGAATGGATTGGACCCAAAGCTTTACAAAATGAAGGTCAATTTTTGTTCTGCTTTTAGTTATTTATTTGGCATCTGTAGGCCCAACTGAAGAGTCACTGTTTCTTAGAAAAAACTGCTTTTAAGTTCCTGGACTTTCGATGAGCGGTAGGATAAGGGGCCAGGCACTCGTTGGTCCTTTGACCCTGTTGTGGTCTGTCAGTCTGCACCAAGCAGAGGTGAGTCTGAGTAGGTGTGGTGGGGCAGGATTGTAAGCCCAGCACTTGGGAGGCTGAGGCAGAGGGATTGAAAGCTGGAAGCAGCCTAGACTATGTAAAAAAATGTCTGAAAAAAATGGGGGCACGAGAGGAGTTGCAGAAGCCAGTTGGGGCGGTGAAGGGGGATCAGACATAGCAAGGCCGTTCAGCTTTAGGGATCTGATGATGCAAATGGAGACCATGGAAGAGACTGGGGCCTTTGCACTGATTTTTTTTTTTCATTGCTAGAGATCAAACCTAGGACTCTGTGCGCACTAGGCAAGTATCTACCTTAAACTACAGCCCAGGCTGCCTAAGAAAATTCAGTCCTCTCCCAAGAAGCTAAACATACAAGAGGTGTCTGGAAAGAATTCCCAGGAAGATAGGACTCAGAAGAAAAAGACATGAAGATCAAGGATGATTCTTACTCAGCAGAGGTCAATGAGTACCAAAAAGATGATAAAAATGTTCACCAGTTAATATGAAGAAAGGCACTCATCTCTCACATGCCTTCTAGAACAAAAACTTAAAAATGCGACTAGCAAAGGAGTCATAACCCAGGATACACTTGCCATAGTGACAAAGAAATTGAGACAAAGGGCTAACTTTAAAGACACAGAAGAAATCAGGCAAACAAGTTTGAAACCAAGCACTAATCTCAGGAACTGGCTGCAGGGGCTGACTTGCTCACTGTATACAGTACCCGAAAACCTCATCTCAAAAGGGGTTCTGCCTTCGACCAGACCAGCGCAGCTTGCAGGTGTCCCGCAAGGGGGAGGGGTTCCGAGTAACGCCCCCACCTCATTTTGGTGAGGGTATGGTACTGGCAGCTTTCTTGAGCCTACCTGTGAAAGTACTCAAACCCACTGAAATATACTCTGAGCACATGAAAGTGGCTGCAGGCCCGTGAATGCCCTTCAGACTCTGGAATCCTGACCGAGGTGTCGCTCGCCTCTGGCCTGGCTACCGCACCGTGACGGCGGAGCGCAGAGCTGCAAGCCGCGGCGGCCGGGGAGCAGCCCAGAGACCTGACGCAGGCGCACTGCAGGGGTCGTGGTCTGGGCCCCCCTGGCTGTGAGCCCTGGACTGGGCGCATCCAGGCGAAAGCCCACGTGTTACATCTAGACCGAGCCCTGACTCTGTGCTGATGAATTTCCAGCGTCCTGCAAACGCTGTTGAGATCTTCACTACTCCTTGGGTTCCATTTTTGTATCGTTAGAGCAGAAGAAACGGGCACAGAAATGTCGGCGACTCAGCCCAGCTCCTTCCCGCCACCGCCTGCCCAGGTACTCTGCAGGGGCGACCCCCGTGTGCCCTCCAGGCCCTGCCTTGGAGCGAGTGGCCCGGGCCCACGCAGGACGCGGAAGGCCTCTAAGACCGGCGGCTGTGAGGGGAGAAGGCCTTGGGGCCCCTGGGAAGGAGACTGGAACAGGCAAGGCGGAAAGGAAGCGGCCAGTTCCGGCTGGGGACAGCGGGCGTGGCCTCGGTCCCATTCCTGGTGATAAAGAGTGGAATAGTGGCGGAAATTCCATCTAAAAATAGTTTCGAGGACAGGAGAGAGAGCACGGTGACTCCATCCCAGTGTGGACCTAGGCCGGAGCAGAGAGGCACACGTGTCCCTGCTGGGAGACCCCAGCCCCAGGCACCTGCTTGAGGGTGCTCTGCCTGCTGAGGGGTCTCCCTGCAGGGCCTGGGGCTGGGGAATTCTCAGGACAGCCAGAAGGAGGACAGAAAGTAGGTTCCTGGGGCACCCACCCGACTCACCTGGAGATGCTGCCTCTGGCAGGCCGCCTGTCCCTGGCCACCAGGGTTGGCTAGATTCCTCCCAAGGGAGGATAGGGCGAAGATCCCAAGGGCAAAGGTGAGGGCAGGGAGTGCCACTGCTGCCTTCGAGTTTCCTGGCACCTTTGGATCCAGAAGTGGGCGTGGTCAGCTGCCTTGCTGCCTTGGACGAGGAGGAAGGAGAAGGTATAGGGTCCACAAGGAAAGAGCAGGAGCCCCATGTCCCCTGACCAAGGTCCCCCCCCCCCCCCAGGGCAGGGCAGCTGGGCTCGCCGCGGGTACCATCGCTTCCTCCCAGCCAGGATCCAGACAAGAGGCCCAAGCCTCAGGTTGAGCCTGGGGAAAACAAGGTTTAAATACTGTAATACAATAATAAAGTAAGTCAACAATAATGCTTATAAAGGTGTTATGTGTTTGTGGTAGATCTAACTGCTTCCCAGTTTTGGGTGCAAATGACACATTTATATATATTTTAATTATTTTGAATTTTTTCCCCTTAGGACAGTTTGCAAAAGGTGAGATAAATGGACTGAAATATCAGCAGTGTGAGGGCTTTGATGCTTCTTGCAGGGTTGTCTGCTCCTTGGATGGCTCAGGAGGCCCAAGCTGACTTTCACCCTTCCCTGAATGTGGGAATGGGGAGGTGGGCAAGGCCAGTGCCCAGCCTCCAGTGTTTCGGCAGTGCTGCCCTTGGAGAATGGGAATGAGGGGAAGGGTATCTGGTTTTCCGAGGCAATAGAATTGGGGAAGACCAGTAAAGTCGTTGAAAAAGTGCAGTGTGCAGGTGCCCTGGGAGGCGTAGACCTGGGAGAGGCTGGCAGGTTGTTGTGGCACAATAGAAATATAAACACAGTATCCCTGGTGGTGGTGGGCTGGGCTGGGCTGGGGGCCGGGAAAGATACCGGTGGTGCAGACCTAAGTTTGGGTTACTCCTGTGTTCAACAACCCTTGCTGACTGAACTCTAGCTCAGCATTGCAGAGGGTGCAGGTGCCCCAAGTCCTTTGCTTTCTTCCTTACTCCCCAGGTTTACTTGCAATAAGGTGTGGTCATGTGATTAGCCACCTGAAGGGTGGGGTGCCCTTCACTTTTCCTCTCCTGCTGCCTGGAATGTGGATGTGATGCCTGGAGTTTTAGCAGCCATCTTAGACCATGTAGTGAGACCAGGTGTTTAAGCAACACGCTAAAGGGATTCTGAGCTGGGCTTGGTGGTACACACTTACAATCCCAGCTGCTTAGGAGGCTAGCATGGAAGGATCTCAAGTTCAAGGCCAGTCTGGGGGATTTAACAATTTAGTGAGACCTTGTTTCAAAAAATAAGAAAAGACCAGGCGTGTAACTCGCTGGTCCCTGGGTACAGTCTCCAGTGACACACACATGTGCACACACACACCAAGGGCACGCCAGGCCTGGTCTGCCAGCTCTGGACTTCTTACAGGTGAAACACACGAGCTTGCTTCCCATCCGGGTTTCATCTGGGCTTGCTGTGCAGAGCTGCACAGTCCTGGATGCCAGTTCTCTCCCTTCCCTTTCCCACCTCATGTGTTCCGACCACAGAGGGGCACATGGTATCCTGTGGGAGAACAGGTGACCATACAGGGCCCAGGCCTGGACCTGGGGAGAGGGATGCCAGGCCGGCAGTGAACGCCGACAGGCAGGGTGCCCCATGTCACTCACACTCACACCTGGGTGCTGCCCTGCGCCTCACACCCTGGGCGTGCTGCACCACTTCCACACCATGGGTGCCCTTCCTTATCCCTGTGGCTGAGCATGCTTTGCGGTGTTTGTGTCCTGCCACAGCCCTGAGTTCCTAGCTTTCCAGCCAAGCTGAGAAACCCTTCGTTGCCCTGAGTGATCCATCACATCCCTGCCCGATAAACCTCCGCAGGACCCCTTCCCACAGCTGTGGTCCTGTCACAGACCCTCTGATTGCCATGCCCTTTGGATGCTGTCCTCTGTCTCAGGTGGCCCCGTGCCTCCTCGGCCCATCAGCAGTAGCTGCCTTGGACAGGCTGCTGGCCTGGGACATGGATGCTGTCACCACCCCAAGATCCCTTCTCCCTGGGTCACCATTGGGCTGGGGCCTCGGAAGCCAGTTTCTCTTGGGATTTCTCCTGTCCTCTTGCCTGTTGCCCCTCTGGGAATAAAGAGGAGGCTTGGGGCTGGGGCTGGGCTCTGAGAGGACCGAGATGCCAGCACGGTGGGTCTCTGTGGGGGTCCCCTGCTCCCCCACCTCATCCAGTCTGGGGCGTCCTGACCGCAGTTTGCAGCACATCCCTGCCCCACCTGTGCCTTTCTGGAGGGAGCCCTGCGGCAAACTCTGGCTCCGCCCTGGGACTCCTGGGTGCGGCAAGGGGAGGAAGGCCGGGCCCACACGGAAGTGGTAGCTCTGCCTGCACCTGACAGCCACTCTCAGTGGCAGCACTGGAACCACACCAGCCCCGGCGGACTCTGCATTGCAGGCAGCCCGGGCCCGGCATGCAGGTGAGCCCAGCCCGTGCCACCCCTAGTCTTGTCGGACAATACTTGGGGGTCCTGGCAGCCTGCCAGGGTGAGGGCCCCTGGGCAGGACCCAGGAGGATGGCTTCCCCCACTCCCTGGGGCTCTGGAGACCCCAGGGCTGGGCTCCAGGGGGTCCTGTGTGAGTCCTCCAGGTGCCTGGGCCCCACCTGCTGCTGTCCCTTGCCTGTGGCCCTGGTGGATTGTGTGTTCCAGGTGCTGGTGCCCAAGTCTCCAGCCAGGCTCTGGAGGCCCCCTTTGGGCTGCAGGATGCTGAGTCTGCCATGCACAGTAGAGGGCTGGGGCACAGGAGACCTCCAGGAAGATGAGCTTTCTCCTCCCTGTCAGGGAGGAGGTCGCCTATGCGGGGGCCAGCACCTGGCAGCCCTGGGGAGGAGTCCCAAGGGGGAGGGTAGCGAAACCAGCCTCCTCTCGGCCCCAGCCTCCAGGTGTGGGCTGAGGCTGGCTGCTCTTTCCATCTCTGCCCACGTCCAGCTCTGGTACCTGCTGCTTAGCCTGGCCCCAGGGTCCCCCTGTCAGCCCTGCTGTCCAAGGGAGCAAGGAGAGACTGGGGTCGCAGGGCAGGTGGGGAGCAGCCCCCGTTGTCCTAGTGAGCATGCCAGTCCTTAGAAACGCAGAAGACTGGTGCTTCCTGCCAGGTTTCTTCCGTGGCTCCCCATTGCTTCTGCTGAAGTTCAAGTTCCCTGAGAGCAGCCTTCCCTGATCTAGCTTCTGCTCACCTCCAGCTTCACCTCCTGGTGGCTCCCTTCTTGCCCTTTATGCTTCTGCAAAGCTGAAGTGCTGAGGACTGAGTCACTAGGAGTTGTAACTGCCAAGTTCCCAAAGGTGCTGAGGACTGAGTCTCTGAGAGTGCTAAGGGCTGAGTCCCTGAGAATAGTCACTACCAAGTCCTTAGAGATGCTCAGTAGTTAGTCACAAGAAGTAGTAACTACCAACTCTCAGAGGTGCTAAGGACTGAGACCCTGGAAGTGCTGAGGACAGAGTCCCAGGCACCAATTGTACCTTGCCTCTCGAGAATGGCTCCCACACATAGCTCTCTCCCAGGAATGCTGCCCCTATTTCTTGCCTGCTGCTAACCTCTTGCCCTACAAGGCTGAGCTCTGGTCCACCACCCTCCAGCCCTTGGCGTCTACTCATGAGGCTCAGAACAAGCCGCCTCACCATCTGGGCAGACTCAGGCAAGGATGAGCTGACGGGTGGCAAGTGATGCTGGACACTGGAGGGAGGCAGGAAACGCAGGGCGTGGACAGAGGGCCTGGCTGGGGTGCAGCAGGCAGCGAGGGTGGACTCTGCCTGCGCAGCAGGGTGGGTACAGGGCCCCCTCTGCGGACGAGGACACTGCAGAATGCACCAGGGCTGGCTGTGACCTGAGGGACGAGGGGCCTCAGGCAGGGTGATGAGGCCACACGTGTGCAACTGGGACGTACACACGTGTGTCATGTGGCCCGCTGGCTGGGCCTGGTTGGTGCTGCGGGTCATCAGATCCACACAGCTGGCCCCTCTGCTCTCCCTGACCTGGAGGCTGGCCGAGTGGCAGTGGAGGCAGGACCCCCAGCACTGATGCTCCGTGACGGCGGTGGCTGGGAGCGCTGATCCCTTGGTTCCAGAGGCTGAACCATTGGCCCTTAGCCCCAGCACAACAGGGTGGGGCACCAGGAGCCTGGCCTGTTAAATTGGGGGGGGGGGAGGCCGCAGGAAGCCCCGTGGCCAGGTGTGTGGCCTTGCTACCCTCTTCCTGCCTGTGCATGTCATTAGGTGACTGTGAAGTGGGAGTGATGTCGCCCCATTCTACAGATGAGGAGACTAAGGTTCAAGAGAGGGTTGGGAACATCAGCACCAGGGCCCGACCTCTCAGAGTGGCCTCAGGTTGTGCCCTGTCCCAGGCTCCTCCTCGGCCTGGTCCCCAAATTCCGGTCTGGTCTGGTGCCCCCTCACTTGTCCTGCATGTTTTGTGGCTTCAGGCTGAAGTCAGGGGGTCCTGGATGTGGGGGCTCCTTCCTGGGTCTGAAGTTAAACTCATGAGGACCCATTTCACTCACCAACTCACCTACTGAGCCACTTGATGGGCTGACCGGGGACACCAGAGCCCCCGGCCACAGTCCTGCCTGGTTGAGACTTTGCCCCCTTTCCTGCCGTCCCTGCCTGCACCTCCCTCTAAGTGCAGGTTTTTCCCAAACCAGGACTGGGGAAGTTTTAGTTACTGCAGGCCACACCTGGGTGCAGGCGCCTGTGTGCTGGGGTGGCAGGCTGGAGCCCAGGAATCTGGAGGAGGGGAGCACAGTGGGAGCTGTGCTCTGGGAGGGGACTGCTAGGATGGGCACAGTGCGGCTGCAGGCCCCACAGGGTCCATGCCGTCACCCTGCTGCGGATCTGATCATTTCCCAGCTTCTGTGACCCAGACAAGGCAGGAGTCAGGCAGACACAGGCCTGTCCTCCAGGGTAAGAGCGAGAAGGGGGCTGGAGGAGGGTGCGACTCAGCGACGCAAAGCCATGACAGATTTCCCGATGAATAACCACTTTTCCCTGTGTAAGTATTCCCAGGCAATCATTGGGCTATTCTTATACTAAAAGGCATCTGTTTGTCTGTACTTTAGCACTCTGGGAGGCTGATGCAGGAGGATGGAAAATTGAAGCCCAGTCTGAATAATTAGCCACTTAGTGAAAAACCTGTCTCAAAGTGAAAAATAGAAAGAGCTGGGGATGTAGCTCCGCCTGAGGGCCCTGGGTTCAATCCTCAGTACTAAATAGAAGAAAAAAAGAAAAGGCAACTGCTGTTTATCTGAAATGCAAATGTGACTGGGTGGCCTGTATATTACTGGCAGCCCTGGAGGGCCAACTGGCTGGAGCAGTCAAGTGAGCCTTTCTCGAGGAGGTGGCAGAAATGAGGTGGAGAAGGGCAGGAAATGCAGGGGAGGACCAGCAAGAGCAAAGTCCTGGCTGTGGGGTGATGTGGCACAGGGTCAGGCCTAGGCCACCATGTGGCCAGGAAAGCAGCTTCACTTTGGGTGGCGGGTGCCACAGTGAGGGAGAGGGAGGGAGGGGCCCAGAGTGGCCTGTCCCTCCAACACTGGTACACAGGGTCCCTGTGCCAACCCTGAAGCTGCCGGCCAGGATGCTGGCTGTGCCCTCAGCCAGGTGGGGGCTTGGACGGGCTCACAGCCAGTGAGGCTGCCCACAACCCAACCCACCCGGGCCTCCCTGCTGTTGGAGCCTCCCCAACCGCCCCCACTGAGTTTGGAAAAAGCCTGCTTGGTGACCCCTCCTATCTACCCCTCCTGTCTACCCCTCCCTGCAGAGCACCCAGCACCCACTGGGACTGCATGCCCTGACTCCTCCATCGTGTTGCAGCTTTATCCCTTCCACCTGTATTTCTGAAAAGCAAAGCTTTACTTGTTAGCTGCTTTTCACAATGTCAAAAGTATATACTATGTAGCAAGCATCTGAGCCTTGCGTTAAAAAAAAATTATTATGTATGGATGGTTTTAGCTTTGACAGAGTCAGGAAAATAGTGTGGCTTCCCCTGATGGCCAGGTCTCATGAAGATACTCACGCTGCCCAGACGGTCCCAGATGATCCCAGTCATTAGCGTTGCCCCTGCCTGTGACCTTTCCCCTCCTTGGGAGGGTCCCTCTGTCCCCTCCTGGAAATTGTTAGTATCCTAAAATATATTCTCTTGAAATCAAGCAATATTCTTTCTCTCAAACGTAGACTGACTCTGAGTCTGGATGTCCGGATGTATCCTGCTCGGCTTGCCTGAGGTCTTCTCCCCGTAGAAGGAGGACTGGCTGAGGGGAGGGGCTGTGTCCTGTCTCCAGCACCCTATCAGAGCGGCCTGATGACCCGCCTGACCTTGTCCCTGTCTACTGGGGTCCCCTCTTCGAAGCAACACTGTCTCCTGCCACATTCTTCTCTGGGCACAAGTCCAGCCCACAGCGAGAGGGAGAACTGGCTGGATCTGAGATTCGTTCATAATTAACAGCAGCCACCTGAAGTCCTGCTGCCAGCTCAGGGTCCTCAGGGGCAGGGAGATGCCCCACATGCCTCCTCTGTTTTCGATGGGCTGACTCTTCCCGGGCTCAGCACATCTTGGAGTCCCAGCCCCCTCGGTGGCTTTGGGCTTTCCACAGTATTGATGTCAACAGTTGTGCACTCATCTGCTCTGCCAACTAGAGGTCTAGGAGCCTAACTCTATAGTTCTGTTTTTTTTGTGGTTGTTTGGTTTGTTTTTTTTTGTATACTGGGGATTGAACTCAAGACCTTGAGCTTTTGAGGCAGGCGCTGGAACCACTGAGCTAAATCCCTGGCTGTGAGCCTAACTCTGAACACAGTGTAAAACGTTCCCTGAATTTGTGCTTCACTGCGTGCACCACCAGCCACGTAGGAGCGCAGGGTCTGACCTGCACCTTCCTGATGCCCAAGGTCCGGGTCTCTTCACCCACCCACTGCTCACCTCCCACTCTGTGGCAAGGGGCTGTCTGCCCTGACAGCCGGTTTCCTCTGCAGGTCTCCACGTGGATTGGTTGGTTACGTGGGTGGCTGCTGTCACTTTCTGGCTGCCATCTGCTCGTGGCCATCCTCAGCCTTGCCTCCACCTGGACTTACTCCCTTGCTGACTTGCTGCTGGCTGCCCATCCCAGCTGTGGAGCTGCTCTGCCCCTCTGGATTCTGAGCACCTGTCCAGAGGCTGCAGGAAGAAGCCAGTGAGGGACCCACTTGCCTCCCATCTCCCACCCCTTTGTCTGCCCCTCAGGGTGAAGAGAGCTTCCAGGTCCTGGCGGGGACAGAAGGGGACAGCTTCCCACTGATGGAGGTGGGCACTTGTGAGGTGGGTCTGCTCGGCCTTCCCGGAGCTTGGTCCCACCTCTCTTCCACTCCTAGCCCTCACCTGCTCCTCCCCAGGTCCCTGCCTGGACCCATCCCCAAACTCCCTTCCTGGGTCCCGGCCTTGTCCCACAAGGCCCCTCTCATGCATGGCCCTGACTTCCACTCCCCTCCTCCTGGGTCCCTGCCTGGTCCCCCCCACACTCTCCAGGCAGAGCCCTCTGAGCAGTGGGACTTCATCCTTGTGGCCAAGTACCACGCAGAGATGAGACTCAGGCAGGCTGAGCGGCAGAAGCAGTTCCTGGAGGAGCTCAAGAGAAGAGGCTTCCGTGTCAAGGTGGGTGGCAGTCAGCAGGGGACGGGCTGGGCCAGGGTGTGGGCAGGCAACTCCCGGTGGAAGACAGGGTGGCATGTGACCCACCCCCAGGTGAGAGAGGACCAGAGACACGTGTTCTTCGGGATCCGAGCTGACAACAGGATCTTCGACTTGTACCGCACCCTCCTCGTGGAGCCAGAGGATCCTGCCCCGAGCCTGGAGCAGGCCAGGCCGACCACTGTCCCAGCCACTACAAGGTGAGAGGCTGTGCCCAGCCCATCCGGTCCAGCCAGGGCAGGGGACTCCCTGAGCCACTGGAGGCAGGACAACTGCACCTGTGCAAGCAGGGCTCTGTGCCTCCCTGTCCACGCCCTTGCTAGGGGATAATGGTGGACCTTTCTGCTTGGAGCGGTCCATGTTCCCCAGGGACACAGGCTCCAAGCCAGCAGGAAAAGGTGGGCAGGGTTGGAGAGCCCCAGGCCCAGCTGTCCCTCCTGGACTCTGAGGCCATCATCTCCAGCTGGCCAGATGTGCCCTCCCTCCACATCTGTCCCCAGACACCCAGCTCCAAAGCTCACCCAGCACCTGCTTTTCTTAGCACGTCCCTCCCTTTGTCCTTCTCCTCGGCTGCCCAGCCCCGGCCAGGCCCACAGAGCTCAGCTGGGCCTGTTCATGGGACACTGCTGCAGGACGCTTGATGCTCTGACCTGTCTCCACACAGGCAGGAGGCTGTCGGGGGTGCAGAGAGTCTTGATGCTGGGGACACATGCAGAGCTGGTGGGGGTACAGTTGGAGGGGGGGTGTCAGCCAGGCCTAAGGGAAGGCTGCACACACAGGGGTGCAGGGAGGAGAGGGACCCCAGCAGTGCCCACCCTGGAGGTGGTGGCTGGGGCTGGGCAGGTGAGGGGAGGAATGGAAGAGTGGGGAAGATCCCAGCTGACTTGGGCCCACTGAGGTCTCACGGGACTGTCCTGACCCTACTTTTGGGTTTCAGAATCCGAATTGTGAACTTCGTCCTGAACAGCAAGACAGCAACTGGTGGTGAGAACAGACAGGCAGGTGGCCGGGAGGTTGCTGACCCGCAGGGTCCTCCTTGGCTCCCACTGCCCTCCGACATGACATGAACTCTCACGACTCCCAGACACCTTCGAGGACTTGGTGAAAGACGGGGTCTTTGAGGCCAGGTTCCCCCTGCACAGGGTGAGGAGTGAGCGAGCCGGGAGTGGGCCGAGGGCTGGACCCTCAACGGGAAGTGCTCACCACCTGTCTCCCACCCAGGGGGAGGAAGACCTGAGGGCGAAGTGGGCCCAGTGGAGAAACATGTTCCAGGAGCAGCCAATCGATGCCATCAGGTGATAGTGCCCCTAACAGGCCATCTGTCCCTGCTGGAGATACACCCGTGACCCACAGGCACACATGTCCCTGCCCCCACGGGTGCGCCTGTGCCTGTGCAACCCTGTTCATGCTACACACTCAGACACATGGATGTTGGCCCTATACACTCTCCCTCTCTCTGTGAGGTCCCCCCAGCCAGTCACTGGCCCCTGTGATGGCTGCCCTGGAGGAGTGTGTCTCTGATAGGCCGGCTCTCTCGCAGGGACTACTTCGGTGAGAAGGTGGCGCTGTACTTCGCCTGGCTCGGCTGGTATACCTACATGCTGGTGCCTGCTGCCGTGGTGGGCCTCATCATCTTTCTGAGTGGATTTGCTCTGTTTAACTCCAGCCAGATCAGGTGGGCCAGGGGCCAGGCCTGGGGGAGAGCCGGGGAAGGTATCCGGGAAGAGCCGGTGCCATCCTCGTCCCTGCCTCCAGCAAGGAGATCTGTGGGGCTGCCAACGACACCTTCATGTGTCCTATTGGTGACAGCAACAGCTACCAGCGTCTGTTAGACACCTGCACTTTCGCAAAGGTTTGCTGCTAGGGCCCCCAGGGCCCAAGAAGGGCCACATGGTTCACACCCGAAAGTGGGCTCTTCCTGGCCTGGGGGATGTGGGTGGGGCTGACCTGAAGCCCACCCCACTGCTCTCCGCAGATCACTCACCTCTTTGACAATGAGGGGACTGTGCTGTTTGCCATCTTCATGGCTCTGTGGGGTGAGTTGCTGCAGAGCCAGCCGAGAGCTGGGGGATGGCCAGGCGGAGCTCCAGGCCACCCCGCCGTGACGCCCTGCACACCCCACTGCAGCCACTGCGTTCCTGGAGTTCTGGAAGCGGCGGCGAGCCAGCGTGGTGCTGCACTGGGACCTGTACGGGTGGGACGAGGATCAGGTGAGGCAGGCATGGTGGCCCAGCTGCCGGCTCTCAGCGTCCTGTGTCTGAGGGCCATGGCCCGTGTCTGAGGGGTGCCCTCAGGAGGTGTGTGCCCCTTATCGGAAGAGGATCCCTGCTCCTGAGACACGGCGTCTTATGTCTGAGGCATGTCTGGTGACCTCCCCAGGAAGAAATGGCGCTTGAGCTCATGAACTGCCCCGACTACGAGCTCCGGCCACACCAGCACTCCTACTTGCGCAGCACCATCATCCTGGTCCTGTCTCTGCTCATGGTACCCAGGGGCTTAGGGGGCTGGACACCCCTGTGTGCATCCCTCCATGCCTGCCCACCAGCCTCCCTCTGCAGATCTGCCTCATGATTGGCATGGCGCACTTGCTGGTGGTCTACCGTGTGCTGGCTGCCGCCTTCTTCGGCAACCTGGCCTGGCCCTTCCTGGAGAACCAGACCACCAAGGCTGTGGTGGTGACCACAGCCGTGGTGGTGACCGGGGCCCTGGTGCACTACCTGACCATCGTCATCATGACTAAGGTGGGGATGGGCCAGGGCTTGGTGGGGAGTCCTTGTGGCCCACATGAGCCCACTCAGTGCCCTCTGCCCACAGGTCAACAAGCGTGTGGCCCTGAAGCTTTGCGACTTTGGTAAGAGCACGACCCTGCCCCGCTCTGGGCGTGGGACGCGGGTCCGTTCACAGCTGAGATTCTTGGAGCCACCATCAGAGACAGGCGGAGCTCCTGCCATGCCCGGGGCTGTGGGAGCCCAGGGCTTTGGAGAGGACGAGGCTCTCTCTCTCTCTTTGCAGAGAAGCCCAGGACCTTCTCAGAGCGAGAGCGCAAGTTCACCATCAAGTTCTTCACGCTGCAGTTCTTTGCCCACTTCTCCTCCCTCATCTACGTCGCCTTCATCTTGGGCAGGTGGGCCCCTCCCTTGCTGCTCCTTCCCGGGGCTGACTGTTCTCACACATGTAGAGATAATCCGTGCTCACAACACACAGGGTGTGCCCCTGCTCGGGCCCAACAGTGACTCCCCTGCAGCCTGGCGGGTCTCAGCATCCTGTGTGTCACGGACACCCACCTGCCAAAGCGGGTCAGTCCCGCGAGTGCTCACGCTGCTTTACGAGAAATCTCTGGGGATGTCTGCATTGGAGGCGCCCTCCGTATCTCCAAGCCAGAAATGCCAGGCCGAGTCCCTGTTCCCCACTGAGACCCTGAGAAAGCCTGCCATAACGTCAGCTGGCTGTTGGAGGGGCTCCCTGCAGGGAGGGAGACCCGTCGCAGGCTCAGGAAACAGCTGCCCTGGTCTTGGGGCCCCTTACCCTTCCTGCCTCCAGTGAGCCCTGGCTCCTCCTGTAGGGGCAGCGTTCTTGGCTCCAGTCCTCCCATGTTCTTCAGCAGGGTTCACGTTTTCTCTGTGTGGGTCCCACAGGCCCCATGCATTTCATTCTGCTCATTTCACAACAGTTGCGGCGTCTGTGACTGGGATTTTCTCAAGCACCATCCCTAGGATTTTGGCTGGACACTCAGAAGCCAGCTCTGCTCGACGCCAGCTCCGCAGCTGCTCTGAGTGTCAAGGGATTTAAGCCACGCAGTGTTTCATTTAATTTATTTTGATTTTCCAGCTACAGAACATATTTTCTAAAACAGTAACAATTTCCTTTGCAAATTTATGTTAGTTGTGCCTTATATTTCTCTTGCCTCTTTGCCAGGAATTCTAGTACCATGTTAAGTAATTGTTTTCATGAAGCTGGGCATGATAGCACAGTCCTGTAATCCCAGGGCTCCAAGAGCCTGAGGCAGGAGGACGACGAGTTTGAACCCAGCCTGGGCAGCTTAGTGACTTGGCAAGGCTGTGTCTCAAAAAATTAAGGGGGGGCTAGGGATGTCACTCAGTGCAAAGACCCTGGGTTCCCTCTCCAGCACTGCCCCCCAAATCATGATGACCATAATGGGGATGCTTCCAGGATTTCACCATTGAATACATACCTCTGTTTAAGCTAGTTTATAGACACGTGTGTATGTTTTTTTTCTGGTACCAGGGATTGAACTCTGGACCTTGTGCTTGTGAGGCAGGTGCCGGAACCACTGCGCTAAATCCCCGGCCCTCCCTATGTATATTTCATACGTATTGTATGCGCGTTTGCCATACTCGGGAGTGAACCCAGGACCTCACACATGCCAGCCAAGTGCTCCACCACTGAACTACACCTCTAGCCCTTTTACTTTTTGACCCAGTGTCTTGACAAGTTGCTCAGGCTTACCTCTGACTTCTGAGCCTCCTGCCTCAGCCTTCCAAGTAGCTAGGGTTACAGGAGTGTGCCACCACACCTGGCTCAGATCGCTCGGCTTCTGGTCACGCACAGGGAGCAGACTGTCTCAGGGCTGAAATAAGTGTGTGTGCATGGGAACAGGCTGAGGCCAGGCCTGGGCAGCCCTGTGCAGAGCCTGCCTGAGCCGGTGGGCAGCTGGCTACTTGTGCAGGCTGAGCTGTCCACACAGCGCGTGAGCCCCGGCAGTGGGTGCATCAGGTGTGGGCTGCTGCCCCTGCCCGCCCACCCTGCTTCTTTCCTGTCCCCACCCTCCCTGGCTGCTGCAACCCTGCCCACAGGGCAGGACACTGGCCCCACCCCTTCTCAGGCCTGCCTCCTCCCTAGGATCAACGGTCACCCTGGGAAGTCCACGCGCCTGGCTGGCCTGTGGAAGCTGGAGGAGGTCAGTCCACCACGAGGCTTACTGCCTTGTCCCCATGTGGCCTCCTGAGCTCCATGCTGACGCTCTCTGGCCCCCACAGTGCCATCTCAGCGGCTGCATGATGGACCTGTTTGTGCAGATGGCCATCATCATGGTCTTGAAGCAAACGCTCAGCAACTGCATGGAGTATCTGTGCCCGTGAGCACCCCACGCCCACTTGCTCCTCGCTCTGTCCCTCGCCCCTCCGTCTGTGCCCACCACGCTCCCTGCCCACAGGTGGCTGGCCTACAGGTGGCGCATGCTGTGGGGCTGCTGGGCCGGCAACCCTGAGCTCCGGGACTGGCAGCGAAACTACCGCCTAAACCCAGTCACCACCTTCACCCTGTTCGAAGAGTTCATGGAGATGAGTGCGTGGGGTGGGTAAGGCCAGAGCAGGGCAGGCAGCCCGGAGCCCAGGGTGACAGACACGTCCATTGCAGTGATCCAGTACGGGTTCACCACCATCTTCGTGGCTGCCTTCCCCTTGGCGCCTCTGCTTGCACTCTTCAGCAACATGGTGGAAATCCGCCTGGACGCCATCAAGATGGTGCAGCTGCAGCGGCGGCTGGTGCCACGCAAGGCCAAGGACATCGGTCAGGGTCTGCTGGGGCAGTGGCCAGGGGCCTGGGAGGGGCCTTGGCAGGAGCTGCCTCTCCTCCACAGACTCACCCCAGCCCAGTTCAGCCTGTGGGCTCTGTCCCAGGAAAAGGTGCCCCTGGCAGGGCCCTCCTGAGAGCCACCAGGATCTGGGTGAAGGATGTGCAATCGGAGGGTGGGCAGGCAGAGGAGCTGGGCTCTGAGGGCGTGGGGTTCCTAGGTTGGGGCCAGGAACTGGGAGCAAGAGCCTCAGGCACCCAGATTAGAACCTTGAGATGGTTGGGTTGGGGGACAGAGGGGCTCAACATGGGGAGAGGGGAGGTCTTGGGAAGGAACCGGGCCTTGGGCCAGGTTTAGGGATCCTGCCTTGGTGGGGCCCAGGGGGGAGCAGCCTGGTGGTGGGCCCTAAGAGTTCAGGAAGATGGAGGATGAGGACTTGAGTGCTCCTTCCTGTCCATGTCAAGGTGAAGGGGTGGCATAGGAGAGCTGAGCCCATGCCGTGCCTGTCTTGGCTGGGGATTTCCTAGAGCAGAACTCACCTACTCTGGGTGTAAGAGGGTGCTGTGGGCTGAGACTGGACCTGTTGGTCAGGGATTGAGAGGATACAACGCTTGCCCCACCACTGTGGCCCAGGGACATGGCTGCAGGTACTGGAGACCATCGGCGTGCTGGCAGTCATTGCCAATGGGATGGTCATCGCCTTCACCTCCGAGTTCATCCCACGAGTGATCTACAAGTACCGTGACAGCCCATGCCAAAAGGAGCCCCACCGAAAAGTCGAGTAAGGCCCCTGAGAAGCTGCCCACCACAGCTAAGCCCGAGAGTCCAGGCCCTCTCTCCTGAGAGGAGCTGGATGCTGTTGGGGCCGCCCCGGTGCAGTGGGGTAGACTGGGGGTACTTCCTGCCCTGCCCTTCCAACCCACAGACCCTGCTGGAGCCCAGGACAAGCAAGTGGACTCCATGGGAGACTGAGGCTCAGCTAGAACTGCTCCTCTCCTAACTTGGACCCTGCTCTGGGCCCTGGGAGGTGGGCAGAGCAGAGCTAGGTCCAGCTCCTTGGGGTCCCCAGGGCCACTGGGTTACAGACGAGGGATGTGCCCTTTAGCCCTGTAGCCAGTGGCACCCTGAGGCCCCATGGCTTCCCCTGGCCCCCAGTGGCCATGTGTGGGGAAACTGAGAAGGCTGGGTTGTGCCCCACCCCCGACTACCCCTAGAGATACACAGTGGCTCCTGCGCAGCATCCCTGGGGCTGAGGCACCGTGGGCCCACCCTCCTCTCTCTTCCCCAGCTGCCTCACTGGCTACGTCAACCACAGCCTCTCTGTCTTCCACACGAAGGACTTCCAGGACCCCAAGAAGATTCAGGGCCCCGAAAACGTGACTGTGTGCAGGTTCGGAACCCCCCAACCCGTTCATATCCTCTGAGCTCCTGACCTCTGACCTAACGTGTTCCCCCTCCCAGGTACCGGGACTACCGAGATGAGGAGTACAACCTCACTGCACAGTTCTGGTTCCTCCTGGCCATCCGCCTGGCCTTTGTCATCCTCTTTGAGGTGGGCAGAGCTGGGGGTGGTCTCAGGGGGGACCGTCTCTTCAGCCTTCTCCTGGGCCTCCCTCAGCCTGACCTTGCTGCCCCCGCCCAGCACGTCGCCTTGTGCATCAAACTCATCGCCTCGTGGTTTGTGCCCGATGTCCCCCAGTCGGTGAAAAACAAGGTTCTGGAGGAGAAGTACAAGATGCTGAGGGAGAAGCTACGGTAGGGAGGGGAGGGGCTGGGCTGGGGCAGGCCTGGGCCTGTGGGAGCCCCTGAGCCACCGACCCTATCCTGCCTCTAGGTCCAGCTCCAAGAGCACAGAGGTGTAGGGGCCGGAAGCAGGCGGAAAGGCACTGGGCACCAGGAGCCATCTCCACTTTCACTTCCCGTCTTGTTGGTGGCTGTGCATGCGCGCTCGTGCACGTGGGGCTGTCAGAAGGCTCATGCTTACGTGGGGACCTTGGATGGGAGAGCGGTGCTAGTGTCCATGTGTGTCCATGTATGTGGTGCTAGCGGTCCATAGAGGAGCGTGTCCTGGGAGGCCCTTGTCTATGGGGGGGGGGTTCACAGGAGTTCCACATGTGTGTGGGGCCTGCGCCACCTCCCTCAGGGCGTGGGCATGTACAGCACAGTCCTGCGTTTACTTCTGGGTCACTCTGGCACCTACAAATTTGGGGAGTCCCTCATGAAATCTCAGGCAGCAAAGTTGGCCCAAGTTTCCTGGGCCTCCCCAACTTCTCAGCCCCAGGCCTGACCCACCCGATCTTGCTGGTGCCACTGGCCCCAAGCCCAGCATTCCGGCTGTCCCCTGAAGGGACTGGCTCCCCTGATCAAGCAGAACTTTCTGTAATAAAATTAAGCCTGTTTGTGTTGATTTCTGAGCCTCAGTATGGTAGAGACTAGGTCTCCTGGGGGTGATGTCTGCCTGGATAGAAGGAAATCAGTCCCTGTGGGTGAAAGGTCTGGAATGTGGCACCACAGGCTACCAGGTCCCTTCTGCACCCTAGGGATGGGTTATGGTGGCAGGGGGTCAGGACAGGGTTCCTGGAGGGAGGGAAAGCTGACAAGGTGCCCTGGGGCAGTGGGGTCTGTGGAGCCCCTGGCTCTGTGCTTTGGGGCGGGCTGGTCGGGCCGGCTTGGCCCCTTCCTCAGGCCCCCGGGGTGAGCTGGGAAGGTCTCCAGCGCCAGCCTCAGGCGCCCAGCCGGACAGCGTGTCCGCCCAGGCCCTGGCGCGGGGCGGGGCTGCACCTGCCGCTGCGCACCTGGGCCAGGTAAGAGGCCCCGCCCCGGGCGCCCAGGGATGGCAGCAGGTGAGCGGCTGTCGCAACTCAGACCTACCGAGGTGAGTGGACGTCGCGACTCCCCGAGCCGCCTTGGGCCTGGAGCGGTGCCCCGTGGACTCCCGGCGCCGCAGCCTCGGCGCGATGGGCGCGGTCCCGCAGGAAGTGGCGAGGCCCAGGAGGCGCCCGTGTGCCCCGGAAGCCCAAGCGCCGCCCGCCTCCGCCGCGGCCGGGGCTGCCTTTCCGCGCCCGACGGGGTTGCTGGGTCCTTGTGACCCTCGGTGCCAGGCCGCGGAGAAGGACCCCGCCCCTCGATGCGCCCGCCCGGGGGGGCCCGCGAGCCCGGGCTCCGGCTTCCGCCCCCCCGCCCCCCCCGTGTGCCCGAGCACGCGCGCCTTCCGTGGCGTGGTCCAGCGTCCCCAGCACCTCCTTTCCTAAGGGGGCCCCTGAGACCAGCTAGCCGGGCGGAGGGAGGGGCGCGGGCTTGACTGGGGGTCCGGGCTGCCACGGAAGCTCGGGGCATGGCTGGGCCTGAGGGCGCCTCAGGAGCCGCCGAGTAGGACCGGGCAGGGGTTTAGACCCAGCGGCCTTGCGGTGCCTCAGGAGGGCTGTAGGGCAAGTGTGCCAGAGGATTTGGATTTTTGTGTGAACCCCCACAGAGCTGGCCTGGGGTGGACGGTGGGGGTGGACAGACAGTAGCAGAAAGAAGGAAGGAGGGGGCGTCCAGTCACTGCTGTGGCAGCCAGCGCTGAGAGTGGTGACACAGACTCGGGGCACGGAGCCCTGAGGCGGGGCAGGCTCAGCCAGAGGCTGAGAGGCTGGCAGTGATGGAGGCTCCCTCTTCTGCGTGCCCGGGTGCCTCCGCTTTCTGACCTCCACTGAGGAGCTGCTGACTAGTTCTGTGCTTACAAGGGCCAAGTGGCACCTTCAAGTGCCCGCGCCAGCCAGCACTGAGGAAACTAAGGTGGAGGTGGGGCCCAGCTGGCTCCCTCCAGCTATTCCTGGCCCTGAGCCCGAGGTGCACCTGCACCCACGGGTGCGGGCACCAGGGAACAAGGGGTTGAGTTAGGCTGGGCTCTGTTTGGGGAAGGAAGGAGGAAACCTGTCCTGAATTGAGGGTGCTCCCTGTGGGCTCAGATAGGGGCAGGGAGACTAGAAGGGAGCCCAGGATGAGGGCCCTGCGCCACAGGGTCATGGACAGGGCCAAGGGCCAGAGGACACCCGAGTGTGATTCTAGTCAGTGGACCCCGAGGTCCAGATCAGCCTGGGTGGGAGTCCATGGTGATCATAGATGTCAGCTGCTCCCCACTGTGCTCAGAGCCAGTACTTGTGGCCTCCTGTGTTTGCCTCTTCGCCTAGAGGGGCCCTGTTCTGCCCCTGCCCCAGCCTCGAAGCCAAGGTCCACGAGACACCATAGCCTGTGCAAGTGCTCACTCTTGTGGAGGATGTTCCTGGGCCAGAGGGCCCTGTTCTGGGCCCATTGTTGGTGGGGAGTTCCTGTTTTTCTTTTTTTTCAGACAGGGTCTTGCTGAGTAGTTCAGGGGCTGGCCTCAAACTCATGGCAATCCTCCTGCCTCAGCCTCCTGGATGCGGGGATTACAAGCATGTGCCACCATGCCTGGCCCTGTGGGGAGTTTCTGAACCCCCTTTACCCAGAAGGTCAGAGGTCAGAGACCCTGGGGCTGCTCACTTGGTTTGGGTGCAACAGAGGACTCCCCTTTTCCTGGGCTGTGGCACTGAGGGGGCATCTGGAAGGCAGGTCCTCCTGTCCTGTTGGCCCTGTGTGTGTGTGGGATGCTTCTGACTGCAGGACTGCCTCTGGGACCCCTGCACATCACCCTAAATCTCTGCCCTTCTGCACACAGGGAGGCACAGGCCTGGGAGACCTGGGCAGCCCCCAGAGGAAGGGGCCGCCTGACTCAGAGTTACAGGAAGACACTGCAGGCGGGGCAAGAGCCACCAACTGCCTGCCCCGCCAGGGGAAGGGGTGGGTGCTTGGGTGGGGTTTAGGTTTAGGAGAGGATGTGACTGCAACACCAGGAAGCTACAGGGAAAGTTCTGATTAAAACATACATCAACAAAACCCAGGTCTTCACTGAGCTTGGCTATGACTCACAGGCAGCTGAGGGTCTGTGACTGCTGCCTGCCGCCCAGCTGAGGGGAGAGCTTGCTTCCCACCACATGAGCAACCTCAGTGACCAACTCCTTCCAGCAGGAAAGAGCTGGAACCAGGTGACTGTGCCCTGCATCTGTTCTGAGGGTCTGTGGCGCTGGGCCTGTCCTTGGGGCTGGGCCTTGGGGAGGCCACAGTGCTGGGGTGCATGCTTGCATGTACAGGTGTGCGTGAGTGGCAGCAGGAGTGCAGAGTGTGCCATGGGAGCTTGTGGCTGATCTTGGTGGGAGTGTGGCAAGTGTGTGCAGCCTAGCCCTGTGTGTCAGCACCAGGAGGTGTGTGGGGCAGGAAGTATGTCATGTGGAGGGTGTGAGTGTGCCAGGACCGGCTCGGTGCAGGTGGGGGTCTGGGGGGGCCGCGTAGAGGGAAGGGGAACCAGCTGCCCCCGTGTCAGGTTCTTGTGGTTTGGCCTTGACTCCCAGGAAGTCTGAAGTGGGCTTTCAGGGGTCCAAGGTTGATCTGGTCTGGGGAATGATGAGGGGCCACTTTAGGAGATGCTGCAGGACCTGCTTCGCTGGTGGTTTGTCCCCTAGTTGTGCTGTGAAGGGTTGGGTGCATGAGAGGTTATGTTCTCTTCAGCCTCCAGTCGGGGGTTGTTCTGTGTCAAGGACTCTCACAGGACTGCTCTCCACCCCAAAGGGCTCTAGAGAGACCCCCTTGCCAGGCCGAGCAGGAATGTGGCTCATATTGTACCAGATCCAGAGGAAATTGTGTCCAGCCAAGCCTGGGGTTCCTGCCTATGCAGAAGGAATAGGGGACAGACTAGGGTGCTCCTGCCTGCCAAAGTGTCAGGGCATCAGGGGTCCTAATGGAGATGTCCCAGGGAGCCCAGGCACAAGGTCTCAGCCCTTGATCTTATGTCCCTGCTGCCATATGTCCACTCTGCAGGGAGGGAGTAGGTGCTCCACAAAGGCAAACTGCCTAGACAGGGCGAACCCGGGCCTGGGCTGCCAAAGTACAGACTCTTGGCACCTCTCTGCAGCCATGTCACTCCAGAGCTTTTGAGTCACAGGCATGTGTCATTGTCACTGTGGGCTGAGAATAGCCCAGAAAAGTCACTTGGGGTAGAGGACCCAGGAGAAGGGGTGCCTGAGAGGCCCTCTGATGTACCCTCAGGAACCAGCTGATCTTCAGGGTGTCCATGGGGGTGATGTGTCTACATGTACCTGTGCATGCTTGCTTGTACCCAGAACAAAACCCCACAGCAAAGAGCAGGCTTGGGCCAGGCAGGCAGGCAGGTACCCATCACAAGGCAGGGACACATGGTTCACACCTTCCAACTACCAAGCCTGCCTGTACACCCTAGACACAGCAGTCCACTGCGAGGAAAGCCAGGAAGGAGGGTAACTGCCACGTTGTCCCACCAGGTCCCACTGGACACATGACCATGGCACCCCGGGTCTCATGGTGGCCTCAGGGTATATGAAAGTGGTCCTGGATTCGAGGTTCTCTCCCTGTGCCTCAGGCGGAGGCAGTGCCTGTTGTGGCCATGCTGGTGCCTGGCGCCCATGAGACTGGCTGGGGTAGTGAGGGATAATGCCACCTATGGCTGACAGTTATCGGTTAACTCATCCTGTTCCTGTTTAACTTGCTCTCTGGGATGGCAGCAGCCTCTGACTTGTGTAGGCACCCTGTCCAACCAGTCACAAGGACAGAGACAGGCCCTGCAGAGCCCTTGGTGGACCCGTCTGCTCTGTCAAGGAGCCCCATCGAGCAGAGGTGGCCCCAGAGTCCAGCCTGCCTTGAAGAGTCCCCAGCCAGAGTCCATGGCAGGTAGGTGGCTCAGGAACAGACAGGCCTAAGTCCCCACTCCTACCTCTGCCCCTCGGGCTGGCTCCACACTATGCCCTCTGCTTTTACCCTGGATTCTCTATATGGACAGTTGCCATGGGTACAAAGGTCTCTGCTCACTCCTCCCTTGCCCTTGGTCCTGAACCCAGGGCAGATAGTGAAGTGGGTCTCAAAATACACACACACACACACAAATAAACAATAAATAATAAGAAAGTTCAGCCCTCAAGCAGGGGCTTGCCTGTGGGCAGCAGAAGATCCTAGAATCCAGGCTCCCCGCTCTGCCATCCCTGGGGAAGGGGCTGGCACACCCAGCATGTGGTCTCCCAAACCAGTGGTCCCCACACTCCCTGCAGCACCCCCAGCAGAGGCAGGCCAGGTCAAGGAGTGCAGTATCTGGCCCCTCCTCTGGAGTGGGAAGTGTAGGGGGCTAGACTCTTGTCCTGTATGGATGAGCAGCCAGATGGTCCCTGTGTGCTGGGCCGGGTCAGTTCAGGAATGAGTCTGGCCACTGCCCTGCCTAGAGCTGTCCCCTGAGGCCAGGGAAATCACATCCAGAACAGATAGAGCACCCAAGACTGGCCACAGCTGGGGGAAGGGTGCCAGGCACTGGGCTCTGTTCCCCTAGTTCTCATGGGTGGGCCTGCTGTGATCACGAAGCAACATGCCACTCTCCGACTATCTTGTTTTTCCTGGACCATGGACCATCTGTGGATGGGTGGGAGGCCAGTACCCTGGCACAGCTGCTGTGTGGTGTCCTCTCTCTGCAGGTGTCTGTGACAGGGCCCCAGACTTCCTCTTCCCAGCTGAGGACCACGCCCTAGGACCTTCCCTGGGCAGTGCAGTTGCTCTGAATTGCACAGCTTGGGTGGTATCTGGGCTCCACTGCCCCCCACCTTCAGTCCAGTGGCTAAAAGATGGGCTTCCACTGGGCAACGTAAACCACTACCATGAGGATTCCTGGTAAGAACTGGAATGTCTACGGTCATAGCGGCCACCTGGATATACCGCTTGCCAGTGGCCTCTCTGGTCTACACCCTCACGTGTAACCACTTGTATATGGCTGGGTAGTGACTGGCCAGATCTGATATGGCAGGGTGTCCCTGTGGATATGGGTAGCTTCGGGGACAAGTCCAGGGTCTTCGTGCTCCTTGTGGACTCTCCCCTAGCAGACTGCTCAGGGCTATGGGTACTAGCAGGATTAGGGCCTAAATGAGGCATTGTTCATCCAGCCAACCCTGGGGTCAGAGGACTCCAGGATCCAGACCCAGGATGGGAGTGACTGTCCAGAAAAAGATCCACAGCCTTCCAAGTTCTGGCCACTTCTCTTAGCCTAGGGCCCAAGAACTGCCCAGCAGCCTCCTCGTATGAGCCCCAGAAGGTGTGGTTTTGGGGTAAGAGGTGATGCTCTGCTCAAGCTGAGGCTGGGCTTGGTTTCCCTAGGGTCAAGACCAACTTCTCAGAGGTGCTTGTGTCCAGTGTCCTGTGCATCAATGTGACCAATGCTGAGGACTATGGGACCTTCACCTGCTCTGTCCGAAACGTCAGCTCCTTCTCCTTCAGTCTTCAGAGAGCTGGTGAGGGGGTGTGAGAGGGCGGGGGTGGGGAGACCGGGGCCTCGAGGCCTGAGGGCCAGTGATCCAGGCCCGCATTGTCCGCAGGCCCCGCAGGCCACGTGGCTGCGGTGCTGGCCGCCCTCCTGGTCTTGCTGGTCCTGCTGCTCGCGGGGCTGCTCTATGTGAAGTGTCGCCTCAACGTGCTGCTCTGGTACCAAGACACGCATGGGGAGGTGGAGATGAACGGTGCGCACGGGGCGGCGGGGCCTCCCCAGGGGCGCTGGGTCTCCGAGGGCACAGGGCTGAGAAGAGGGCAGAGTCGTGGGAGGTGCCTCTCTGGGACCAGGGTCTGGGGTCCAAGGCCTCGCAAGGGCCGCGCTGACTGGCCGCCGTCCGCAGACGGGAAGCTCTACGACGCCTTCGTCTCCTACAGCGACTGCCCGGAAGACCGCAAATTCGTGAACTTCATCCTGAAGCCGCAGCTTGAGCGGCGTCGGGGTTACAAGCTCTTCCTGGACGACCGCGACATTCTGCCGCGCGCAGGTACCGCCCTGGCCCCGCCCCTCCCCGCCCCTTATCGCTGGCCCCGCCCCAACCCCGTAGCTCTTATTACCGCCCCCCCCGCCCCTCTTCTAGTAGCCAGCCCCTCCTCCCCGTCACCCCCTCCTGCCTTAGGCCCCGCCTCCCCACGCCCTAGCCGCCTCCACGTTCATAGAGCCCCGCCCCACCCGGCAGC